GAACCAGGCTGATATTTATTTAGGGATACATACGTATATGTATATGCATGTCGTGGTGGCTCAAAGGTTTAAAACGCCCAATTCTCATGCATGAGAGTGCTGGTTCGAAAACTACCAACAGCAAGTACCAATGTGACGTTTCCGAGTTATAAGTACTTTCTAAGATTATCAAGACACCACTGACAAACGGTGAAGGAAACCTGGACTTATAATTTCTAACTATAAGTTTGAAATCGCCAACCCGCATTGAGCAAGAGTGCTCAAACCTTCTCCGTTTGGTCAACAGCCACTTATAGTCTGTTGTTGATGGAGATAATGTTGAAGTATTAAGTAACATACTTATCCTACGATTTGACTCCGTGGAATAGAACATTTTAATCGCCTGTAACTGTATTATCTGTTGCTTTCCATACGCGACCGCTATCAAATTATAGGTACTGTGTTCAATTATATATTCCGTATTAATTGACTATACTCTGACAATCTTTATAAAATGAAAGAAAGGACGAAACTAAGTACAAAATTTTTGTGGTTAAGTTTCTATCTGAAGGAGTATTTGTTTAGCCTAGTAACTCACCTCACATGCTCGAGTATTACGCCTAGTATTAAGTAGATACACTGATGTACGCATATGCGTGACACTGGCATTGACAATGTGAGATAAACCGGTGTCGCCAGTCGTAAGGACAGTACACTGGACTCGCCCAGACCACTATTGTTTGCACTATGCCTCGTTTGGAAGCCCGCCAGTAACTGGATCTAGTGTTCTGTCAAAATAAATATTGATAGAACTGAAATAGACAGAAATATTTCCGCCTGTGTGTCTGTGCTTTGTTTATTTTTGTTTTGTTTTCATTTTTTTTTTAATTGTAGACTCGTTTTCGGTCGTTGAACTTGTAGCTGTTTTGATGTTGTGTTCGTGTTTTATACATTGACGTTTTTGGTTTAGGAAGTAGGTACTTGCAAAGGGAATAAGGCTAGTTTAAGCTTGGATTATTAACTATTGTCTCAGTTATGGTATTTGTAATTAATCCTTTGGCTCCCGGCTATCAATTCAATGCATCTAATTTCCATTTAACTAAGTAATCGGCAACAATAAAACATATTTATGAAACTTTTTTATATCAATCTAGTATTATTTTTTTTATGGTATAAACCGGCAAATGAGCAGACGGATCACCTGATGGTAAGCGAAAGCGTAACGGAGAGACTGGGGAGGGGGGGGGGGCGTAATTGGGCCTTTGGTAACCTCACTCACACGACGAAACACAACGTAAGCGTTATTTCACGTCGGTTTTCTGTGAGGCCGTGGTATCACTCCGGTCGAGCCGGCCCATGCGTGTCGAAGCATGGCTCTCCCACACTTAAAGTATCTAACTAACTAGTGAAACAAGTGAAACAAGTGAATTTATTTCTGCAAATAGGCTACGAGGTAGCACTTTTACACGTCAATTTTATCAAGCGAACGATGAGGTCGAGTAAGGGTGGTGACCCTTTTTCGTACTCTCCACGAACACCGCACAAATTCTTCCACGTGAAAGTTTAACTTATGTTCACAGACCATTAACAAGAGACTAGAGAGACTTTCTAAAAAAATCATCATCAATAACAATAACAAATAATATTTTTTCTATCGACTTACCTAAACAAGACATGAAAATGTTCAAATAATAGATGGATGATTAAATATCGTAGGTACGGTAACGGCCCACGGGCCCATGATCGACATTGTTCGTCCGTGACAATGACTTGCCCGAGTTACTGGCGCGAGTACCACGCGGAGAGTGAAGTGGACAGTCGAGTGGGCCTACGCACTGAACGTGTGTTTACTAACAAACGTGTCGCATGGAAATTAGATTATTTTCACCATATTTATATAGATAGTGGGCTGTCTTGTTTGTGTCTGCAAGTTTAGGAAAGTGTAGTTTTTTATGATTGAGATCAGATGGGATATAGACTTGAACTTGAAAAGGTTCTTTAGAGACAAACTCGATAATACCTGCATCCTGCATTTTACAATGTGTGAGCCAGTTCAAATATAGTAAATATCTAACACTAATAGTAGATACCTACTATTAAAAACATACTCAGTATTAAGAAGTACTTAACTGCACAGTCGGTGCGATAAATGAGCAATGATCTAACTGTAGAATTATTAATCATCATCATCATAACATCACGCCTTTTATCCCTGAAGGGGTAGGCAGAGGTGCACAGTATGGCACTTAACGCCACTGTACAATGTAACACCCACTTTTCACTATTTATGTTATGAGTCCCATGTAATAGGGGGTGAGCCTATTGCCATATAACGGGCACAATTGCAGACTCCGTGCTACTACTGAGAATTTAAAAAAAACCCAGTAAAACTTGCCCGACCCCGGAATCGAACCTCTTGCCCGGCCGGCAGTCGTACTTGCAACCACTTGGCCAACGAGGCAGTAGATTTATTAAAACTTTAGATTTTCACTAGACTACTAATCACAATCAAAAACTATTTATAATGGGAGAGCTATATTCGGAGTCGCGGAGAACCTAACGGGTAACCGGGGCTCCGGCTCGACGTGCAGGAGAAGGAACGGGGTGGTTTTTAGTCAGTAAGAGTCTGACACTCTCTCCCGCCTCACCCAGGCGGAAGAAGTCATTCGATGATTTTCCCCCTTTAAAAAAAATGGGAGACCTATACTTAGGCAGAAATAGGCTGTCAACGCAACGCAATTGTAACTTTTATGGATGTAGCGGCTTGCGGATGCCCATGGTGATCAGGATCACTAGCTCGTTGGTCAAGCACGAATTAAAATCTGTTGAAAGTTAAAAGCGATCAGATAAGCGTTATGTAGGTATGTACGTAATGTTGTTGCCATATACAAAACTGCTGTGCCCAATATGGAGGGCTTCGTGATACGTTTATCACGTTATCAGGCTTTCTAGCGGCGTGCGCAGGGGCACGCGCCGCAATACTTGGTTAGGGGTAGAGCAGACCGATGTTAAAATAGCTGTTAGAAATTAGAATTCTTCTCTAAGATTAATTCCTTATATGCCGGTATATGAGACACAATAGAAAACACATTGTGTCTCGCGTATATGTACGTCCCCGGCGTACCAAGGGTTAACACTAGTTAAGTAGCTATTCTCATGCGGTTTTACTCGCTGCTCGGCGATATATAGCAATCGGCGTCGCCTATGGGCACCTGGAATACCAGAGGCATTACAGGTGCGTTACTGGCCTTTTGATGATTCTTGGGATTCAGAGATTATGGAGGGGGGAGGGGGGTAATTGGTCCTCCCCGTAGCCTCATTCACACGACGAAACACAATGCAAGCGTTGTTTCACGTCGATTTTCTGTGAGGCGGTGGGAGTACTCCGGTTGAGCCGGCCTATTCGTGCCTGAGTATGGCTCTTCTACGTAAAATCAAACAACAAACAAAACTCTTCTTTCCCAGGTATATAATATAAGCATGGCTATTTTAAAGCAACCGTCCGTGAGTCCTCAGCCTTATATATCAGATTCCACTAATTTGCTCTAGAAATTTGTTCTAATTTTACTTTCTGAAAGTGTAGCGGAAGGTAGACGAGACTATTGTCGATCGTCCTGCCCTCTGGCGGCTGAAGTTGCAATGTTTTGGTCTGATGCTTTGCAAGTGGCTAGAGAATGAAATATTATATAGTTCTTGAGATAATATCGTGGCTTTTACATTAGACAAGGGTAGGCAGAAAGAGACGGTACGGCGTTCTCACCTACCGCCTGACGCAGTTGCTTGCCTAACACGGGAGTTTCGGTAGTGCTAGTTCTATTTCTGATTAGGCGGGATGATACGCCCGGGTGTCATCACAGCGAGGACCTCCCGGAGGACATGCTGTAGCATACCCAATCTCCCCGATCCCCGAATCCCCAAAAGGGAACACACTTGTAACGCCTCTGGTGTTGTCCATGGGCCGCGATTGCTTACCATCAGGTTCAGGTGATCCAACTGTTCCTTTACCCGCTTATCCTATAAAAAACTTGTTTTGTAATATCAAATAATGCTATGCTCAAATCAGGATCCTGATCGAGACCGCTCACTTACGTATCTAGTCTAGTCTAGTCTATGTTTTAACGGACTTTTTCTTCAAAAGTGTGTTAAATAAAAAAATGTAGATAGTATTACATCTATTAATAACTTAAGTCCTACATAGTGTAAACATAAATTTTTCGCTTGGACAACCGCACATCAAGCTACCTCAAAAAATAAACATCTCCTACATATTTTCGACCTTGCCACTTAATGATAGAGCTGAAAGTCCAGTGACTAGATTTTAGTGTTCTCTACATTGTTGCTAATCCTAACCACAGAGTTGTTACACCCACGACCACAAAGTGCTACGGAGGAGAATTGAGCATTGTTCCAGCTCCCTATTACATGGAACTTAAGTTATAAGTCGTGAGAGGAGTTACGTTAATATTTGAAACCTTTTTTTATAAGGGGCAAAAATCATCGAATGACTTCTCCCGCCTGGGTAAGTGGCAAAAATCATCCAATGATTTCTCCCGCCTGGGTAAGGCGAGAGGGAGTTTCAAACTCTGACTGACTAAAAATCTACCTGTTCCTACTCCTGCATTCCGAGCTGCGGCCCCGGCAACCCGTTAAGTCCTCCGTGGCTCCGTATTAGCATTAGTTCTAGTGGGCCTCATCTGTGGTGGTCCGATAGCTCTTTGAGGCGCGCGCGGAGTGCAACACGCTGTACACTCGGTCTGGTTCTGGTCAGGCGGCGACTCATCCGTGCTCGCCGTTCGCAGGCCCGTGCTTACGACGGCCGGAGATCTTATTTTTTTTATGAAATAAGCCGCTAAACCGGCAGACAGATCACCTGATGGTAAGCAATCGGCGTCGCAAAGAGGCGTTACAAGTGCGGATACAAGTGAGGATTGTGGGGGATTCGGGGATTGGGGAGACTGCGGAAAGGGGTAATTGGGCTAAATATTTGAAACTTAAAATAAAAATGCTTCTTTCTTTTCCAGGGATATCTTCACGTGTGGCGGCGGGAGGTGACCTTCTCAGACGAGCAACTGAACGAGCTCTTCAATAACATCGAAGACATTTACAACTTTAATAGGTAAATACGTTTTCATAATGCATTGTCCACATATTATTAAATCTAAATCTCTAATTAGAATTGACTGACTCGCCTGGAGTTATATTGCCACAGAGAAAAGTAGAATGAATTTAATGTTTGATAGGAATTTTAGGAAGTTAAACTCTGCAGATTTGGATTTAATGAACTATTGCTACGGTACATACAAATTATTATGTCTTTAATCGACAAGGATGGTCTATTATTTGCTGCACTACATAGTACGAGAGATGACGACCAAAACCATGTCTCATAGCAATATGGCAAAAACCCTATAAAATCGTTAGATTGTATGATTCTGAACCCGACTAGGTGTGTAGTAACGGTCGAAAGTGTAGCAACTGCGTGGGAGGCCATTTCCGCTGTGTCAAAAATATCTCGACTATCGAAAAGTTGTCTGATAGAGAAGGTGCTATACTTATTTTGTCTGATATAAATTTTTTGCACATGTGGACAACTTATTTTATCATGTCCAACAATTTTCAGACATATTGCCATGATACCGATCGGTAAAATTTGTTAACATTTTCAAAACGGTCTCAATATTTAATGCGTTCACATTTCCGTCTGAAAATTGTTTTGTTCGCATCAAATAACCAAAATTTACTAATAAAAAAGGTTTTCAGACAGAAAATGTCTGATATTGGTATTTTCGAGTTCAGGATAATCGTATCTATCGATTTGAGGCGGTTTTGGCCGTATTGCTATGAGACAAGAATTTTGGTCGTCATCTCTCGTACTAACAGTACAGTCAAACTAGAAAAAAGTATTATGTAAAACACAAATAATAAATGTCTATTTTTCATTCTTTTGACAACAACCAAGAAATATTGTCACAGATTCCTGGCATATGGCATAATGTCCCCTTCCGCCAAGTTTCTGCTAAAACGTTATAATAGTAGGGGACTTTGTCACGCCCTTTACGCTAAGAGGGTAGGAATAAAAAAATACCGGATATATTTCGCGTAAACCCCCAAGAGAACCGTTCACTCAGACCAGTACGCAGTAACTGTCCGTTCCTCGCATACTTTACACTCTCATACATTTTGCTTGCCTTGCACACTGCCATACATACTTACATGTGTCCCTTCAATGGTCATCATCATCTTATCAGCCACAGGACGTCCACTGCTGAACTTAGGCCTCCCCCAATGACTTCCAGATAGGCCGGTTGGAACCGACCTGTATCCAGCGGTAATGCTCAAAAAAGTTTGCGATCTGGGATCCTACAAAATGTACTCGTATGTAGATATAACTATGTTATGTAGATAAAATTAAAAATAACGACCATTCTAAAACTTATTTTCAAGGTTAAATAATTATTAAATCAAAATTCAAAGAAATAACAACATTGTCTACATATTCTCATGATTTAAATTACAGGAAAAAATCTTAGCAATGTGTTTTAATAATTCCGTTCTAAGTATTTTTAAGTACTTGATTGTCAATTAGATATTTTGTAGACGGACTACTTTTTGAGCGATTCTGATCAGCGAGTTGTGTTGAAACTGTGTGGGTGAATACCAATATGGTCGTCCTGGACTATACCTAAGATCGACATTTAGATGTTCATAACAATTGCATGTTTGCATTGCAACCACTTTTTTAACAACAATCGTTTATCTTTACTCAACTCAAAAAATCTTTAATGTTGTGTTTTTATTCCAATACTAGACTGCGACTTCGTACGCTCAATCCCGTTTTCTCCCGTTCCCATAGGATTTTTTCTGTCATAAGAACCTTTCACCAGACAATAACAAACTCAACAAAAAAAAACGGTTTATGATAAATCAAATATGTTGTTATAATAAATAAACAGTAATTAATTGGTATGCAAAACTACAGTAAAATTATAATCAAGAAACACAGAAAAAGAATAAGATTGTATAAATAGGTAGGCTTATGGATGTCATCATCATCATAAACAGCCTATAAATGCCCACTGCTGACCAAAGGCCTCTTCACACACGGAGAAGGTTAGAGCATTAATCACCACGCTTGCTCAATGCGGATTGGCGATTTGAAACTTATAATTAAAAATTATTAACCCAGGTCTCCTCACGATGTTTTCCTTCACCGTTTGTCAGTGGTGTCTGAATAATCTTAGAAAGAAAATATAACTCGGAAAAGTCACATTGGTACTTGCCGTTGGTAGGTTTCGAACTCTCATCCTCATGCATGTGAGGCCGGCGTCTTAAACCTTCGGGCCACCACGACATATGGATGTACTGCATCGCATTGACAGAAAATCACAATACATCGAGCAACTAAATCGCCGAGTAGGGCGACTTAAAGTGGCTCGTCTATTCGATGTCGTATATAAGGAAGTTATTAAAGACGGAAATATTACGGTACTTATTTTTTTAGTCGAATATTAACATAACACAAACATTATGAAAAACTTATTGTAATCGTAGGTAAAGGAAAATAGAGCAAACTTTAGTAACTCAACTTAGGAATCAATAATAGACCCTACGAGGCTAAATAAGTACTAAAGCAGGTTTTAACAATTTTATTTTGAACCCTTTTTTTATTTTGAACCTTATGAACGTCCTGACATACTTAGGATTGTAGGGTGTACGAATAATAGCAAGGGAACATGGGGAGGGGTAGTTTTTATGAAAGAGGGCTATGTGTGGTATGCGTACACATTACTTACTTATGAGAAGTGTGCATGTGTGGGTGAATATACAGGATGGGGTGGGAAGTTATAAGTGTTAATTTTTGGATTAATTTGTTTGTTGGTCATACAAAATGGCATTGTTATGATGCTTAAAAATAAATAAATAATTTATGATTTTTTTTTTTTTTGATATCTCTTTGTTCTACTCGTTGGGCATGCAAATATTGGGTATGTCTCAACCATTGTACGTATTAATTAAATAGTATTTAATAGTATTGGATAATATGGTATTAGGCTATAACATCACATCTTCACGCCTTTTATATCCCCGAATAGGTAGTCAGAGGTGCAAATTACGGCACTTAATGTCACTGTACAATGTAACATCCACTTTTCACTATTTATGTTATGAGTACCATGTAATAGGGGGTGAGTATTAGGCTATCAGTTATCTTAATACCAATACTATTTAAAAATAAACTGATGAGGCACTTGAAATTATAAATCAACGTAGTAGCTTCAAAATCAGTAGATACCTAATTATGGTCGATTTCACGGTCGATTGGCTTGAAGCATAACTGATTGTTTAACATTCAATCGTCATGCAAATCGTGAGAATCATGCTACTGGTATTGGAAATAAGATAGATAATGCTATGACGTCACTTTTTTTCTATGTCACACTGTTATTAGGTACTTAACTCGCTCTTATTAGCTCGAACTATGAAAAATTCAGAATCTTAAGTAAACACACTTCTAATTGTTGTATTATTATAAAATTATGCTTTTTTTGTTTTGTTTTTTTTTTTAAAAAAAAAACGTTGCGGTCGGTATTTATCTGTATCTAGAGATCAGACCAGGGGCTTACTCTTGAATCCAATTGCAATTAAATGGCATTGGTATTGTGAAATTTCGTACTCTTGGTTGCAATACTAGCATCCATTGCATCCGTATCGAGTGGATATTTAATGAACTGAGGTTATATTTCGAAAATCGGTAAGATAAGTAACTGAATGTGAACTGACCAATGAAAAATTGGTCTTTGATATTCCTTTGTTAAAACTTCAGTTAAAATTAACTAATGGGTAACTAAATGAGGCTTTAACTGAGTATTGAAAAATCGGCCCTAAAGGGTATTGAGTTTGGCTTTATATTTCGTACTCTGAATACTATTTTAACAGTTACGATAGGGGTTGTATAGTTTTGACATTGAATAATTATTGACATTTTATTGGATTGAAATTGCGATTGATTTCAAGAGTAAGTGCCTAGATCAGAGACTAATTTAAAATAGCAAAGTACATAGATTTTAAAGAATGTTGCCTTATAATTAAAAAGAGAATATTATTTATACAAATCTCCATTAACAGATCGCTGTTTGATTATAGACCCTCTCTATAGTAAAAAATAGCAACTTAGTATAACTTCGGGAGTCACGGAGAACCTAACGGGTAACCGGGGTTCCGGCTCGACGTGCAGGAGAAGGAACGGGGTGGTTTTTAGTCAGTAAGAGTCTGACACTCCCTCCCACCTCACCCAGGCGGGTGGTCATTCGATGATATTTCCCCCTTAAAAAAAACTGTAACTTCGGGAAATAGGAAGTTAACTAAAATTCTTCAAAAAAGGAGATTGCATTAACATTTCCTCTACTAAAGCGGAAACGACAGGAAAAATAGATAAAGAGATGCCGCGGTAGAAATAAACAGTTCCATGATCAGTATTACACAATAGTACAAAGAAACTCGATCACAAAGAATAATCTTATAGCAATAACCTCAATGTGTTCAAACGCACCTTTGAACATCGTTCAACAGATCACATTAAATCGGTAAATAAACAATACTGAGAGCAGTGTTCTTCCTTTAAGCTGGGGGCTTAGGATTTTATGTTTTTGTGGCAGATTGTACTAAAGTTGTATGTACTTTTAAAATTTGTTTATAGGGATAGGTTAACTTCGTCATTTTAATCGTTGAAAAACAGAAAATAATAGTTTCCTGCCAGTTAAAAGATTAATCTGATTCTTTGAAAATTAAGGATATAAAAAACACGTGGTAAACAAAACTTAATTATAAAATTAGGGTAGTTTCCAGGGTATCAACATTAAAAATATAATTAGTCCGTCAATTAGATAATGAAAAATATTAGACACGTATTTTTTTTTATTTTCTCGTATTAAGTTCCAATACTTTATTAAGGTAGTTACGTCAGAACGTGCTACAAAATACCGTCGAAAGTATTTAATTTTTTGAGAAAAGAAAAAATGCGTGTCTAAAGTTTTAAATTAATGTGCCAGACGGACATTAAAATAAAATTTAGGAAACTACCCTAATATTTACTGATTTTGTAATAAAGTTAAAAATTTACTTTGTCATCATTAACTACATTGACTACATAGATTCCTTACAAACTTCAAAAACTATTTAGGCACCCACACCACTTTCAATAATAAATAAATCTATCACTAATGATCCCACCATTGATAAATTTTCTCAATACATCTTAAACTGTCAAACACCAAGCGGTCACCGGTGACCGCGACCTATTGTTCTTTAATTGTGTCTATAAAACCGGTACTCGACGAGTTAAATACCAAATTAATAGCATACCGATTCATTAAGATGTATTAAAAAGCATATCGGAAACTCCGTAGGCGTTGAAAACATAAAATTGACATTCAAGCTATTCATATTTTCCCTAAATACATTGACACCTACACGAATAGAAATATCTAGTTTATACAACTGCTGACCCACTTTTGTTCAAATCTCTCCAGCAGTACCATACTCGTCTGTTTTAGAAAAATAGTTCTTACTAAAGATTGGATTATTTTATGGGATATGGCGGAAAATGAGCAGACGGATAAACCGTTGGCCATGTCATATCCATGTCCTTGTCCTCAATCAGGATAACCTGATGGTAAGCAATCGGCGCCGTCCATGGACTGTAAATCATCCGACGAGTTACAAGTGCTTTGCCGGCCTTTTTGGGGTTAGGCATTTGAGGATTTTAAAGATTAGGAAAGAGGATAGAATTGGGCCTCCGATAACCTCACTGATTTTTTTTTGTAAGGGCTAAAAATCTTCGAATGACAGCTCCCACCTTAATGTCAGACTCTTACTGACTAAAAACCACCTCGTTCCTACTCCTATACGTCGAGCCGGAGCCCCGGTAACCCGTTAGGTTCTCCGCGACAGCCTCACTGATAGCGCACCGCAAGCGTGATATCACGCTAGTTTTCTGTGAGGTCGTGGTATCACTCTGTTCGTCCCGTTCCAGCCGAAGCATAGCACACCCATACTAAACTTCTTGTTGATAGTAGGTAAATGTATTATTTTATTAATATCTTTACATGATCTCTATGATCACAGATCGCCGACCGCAAATGTCAGATAATGTTTCACGGTTTGTTTCATACGATATCTTTGTCATTCGAATCTGGTAGCGATTCTTAATTAATAAATATCAAATTAAGAGAATGTCGTACCACACATTTTCTTAATTTGATATCACTTGTATTCAATATTGTCAGGATAAAGTTTGTATGAGAAAAATATCTGGACGTTCACAAAAAATGCTATACTGTAAGTTATAAAAGAGGTCAGATGTCTTAATCGGACCGAAGGAACATTATATAAAAACAATACAAAAGGAAAAAATGCACATTATCGTACAAAAATTCACAAAGACTCTTTTACAGGAGCTAATAAAAGTGAACAATAGCACAAATCTTTTGTTAAAACTTAAAACACGTCTGCGGTTGGTAACGAATGTTAAAACAATGGTTGCCTTGATAGGGTCGCTCAGGTTACATGACCTCTAAGAGTACCAGAGTCCTTTGAAACCGAATTCTTTTGCAGGCTTTTTTGTTTGTTTTTGTTTTATTGCTTGGTGTAAATGGACGGATAAAAATGGAGCATATGTATGAAGGTTTTGATTCTTATAATGTTATTTATTGTAGGAATATAGAAGTGCAAATATTATTTTTATGGTTAGACAAATAAGGTCTAGTTTTGGGTAATATAAACAACAAATATCAAAGTTAAAATTTCCAATTTCTTCATCACACTACGTCTATTTCAGATCCCTCTGCGCTGAACTGAACACATGTCGTCTGGACGCGACCTGCATCGCTCGGTGCTTCGTCAACAACACTGCTGGGTTCTCAGTGTATACCTCCTACTGCACTGGGTACCCTCGCACTATGGAGCGACTGGCAGCTTTAGCCTCGGAGCCCCACAGCGCCCGGGAGTTCAGGGAGCGACAAATAGCTTTGGGACATTTACTGCCGCTCGCGTCTTACTTGTTAAAACCTGTTCAGAGGATTTTAAAGTACCATTTGTTACTGCAGGTTAGTATCGATAATTTAGAAACACATTTCATTTCATTAGCAGTTTCTTCAAGAGTAGTTTAATGGCATTCTAATACCTACGTTTAAAGCTGAGCTATCAATGCAGATTACAGCTATAAGCAGTATATGCACCTACATATATATTGCCCGTTGCGTTATGAGTCTCCTTTAGACGGATCTTGCCACACGCGAAATATTGCCAAAATGAATTAATAAAGGATTTAAATGCTAACTATTATTTTATTACCTAATATTTTGATTCTCGGAACGATATTAGAAGATAATAATATTTATATATATGACACGTATTCGCTATTAAAATCTTGAGTAAATACTCTTTTAAGCAATATAAGTAATTAGATTCCACAAAAAGATAAAACGATAGATCAATTTAAAATAGTAACTACGATAGTGAACCGTAAATATATTGAATATTAGATACTAAATGGATTCTCACCTATTTTGTGGCTAAGAAAGGGCAAATTGATCACTTTATTACTTATTTGGAATCTAATTTATTGTTATTTAGTAATGTTTAACTCGTAATTGCAATTTACCTTCTTGGTTTAATGGCACAATCACTATCCTTGAATTTAAGCTGCGTGCAAGCAAGTTTCTTAAACAACTTAAGACTATTCGACGTTTATACCAAGTCGAATAAGTCTTATTTCCTAATCAATAAGAGCGTTTTTACTTTACGTCTAAGTTAATATCAAATGTTACCTAGTATCTACTAGACATCTGCACAATTAGTTGTTTTGTAGACATAAATGTTGAAGTATTAATATGTTTGGTCTTGTAATTGGCTTTTGTCTTCTTCAAACTGTTGCTAAATAGTGGTAAATATCAGAAAATTAGAAATATTATGATGAATGTTATGCTAATACATGTTTCAAATTAGGGCTTATGTATTGTAACTTACTCTTTATAAATTAGGGCTCATGTATTGTAACTTACTCTTTATATTGTACATGTTTTTTATATGGGGTTCCTCAAGGCTCTATTTTGGGACCTGCATAATGTTTTATTTATTTCAATTTCAGAATGTTGTAAAGCAATGCGCATCTCGGGAGACGGAGTACGCTCTGCTGAAGATGACTGGTATCGCACAGCACATCGACGATATGAAGCGACGACACGAACATGCTGTAAGGGTACAGGTGAGAGAACTATTTTTTGTAAAATACCACGTAATAAATACCACGGTCAAATCCATTTACTATTAAACAGTTTTTTTAATCGTTGCCCCACACTAGTATTTTCTCCTGTGTCGTGGGTGCGTTTACAAACATACAAGTTTACATACACATGACACCCAGACCCTACAAACAAAAATTTGTGGATCACACAAAGAGGTGCTCCGTGCGGGAATCGAACCCGCGACACGTTGCGCGGCAGCCGATTGTCCAGCCACCGCACCAGTCAGTCAAATTTAATATCTCATTTTCTATTTTTCAGGAGATCCAATCGCTGCTATACGGATGGAATGGGCCCGATCTGACAACATACGGAGAGTTGTGTGCCGAAGGGACATTTAGGTATGTTGTGTTCTAATAATATTATTAATGTGAAACTTTTTGAGGATATAAGCATAGTATAAAGAACAAAGTAGGTTATCTTCATACAAATGCTCCGCGCGCGGCTTATATGTGTGCGCCATAGTATCTATGCGTCGACGCACGCACACTTTAACAAAATCTCGACCCGTTTCTCAGTGCGCCAGGCAGGGCTAACACTGCACGAGGTTCGCGCGCGCATCACTTTTCGGCACTGTTAAATGAAATAAAAAATGTCTGATAACCGTAGAAGAACGTATTGCTGTGTGTTTGGGTGTCTTAATAATTAATCGATTCCAGAACTGTCTCTGTTCAGATTAAGTACCTAAGTAATAAGCTAGTCACTTTTTCTAGCATAATATAATTTGTAGGTACTTGATGATGAGATACCTACTTACTTATTCTTACTCTTATCATTCTTCATAGTTCCTACTCAACCAGAAATGTAATACCTACTATACTTAAATATTATAAGAAAATGTGGTATTGTATTGTTTATTTCACAGTTTATCTGATTTGTTAAGAGCGTGGCCGTGTCGCATTTTTCCATATAAATGTATTCCCAAATTTACTTTCTGAATACTATGTATAGAGCTAAAGTTTATTTTAAGAAGTTAATAATCTTTTTATAAGCTTTTTATTTTTACTAAATTTATAAATTGATAAAATATTCAATCATAATATGCTTTTCATTTCATAAATTTAGATCAAGTGCTGCTTGTTCGAAAATATTAACTAAAAGTAAAAGTGACAACCCTGGGGATCAACGCAAGAGTAGGCTAATAACTCGGCGGGCGGCCTTAGATAACCTACTGTGTTCTTTATACTATGATATAAGGACGTATCCTAAATAAATGTTATATGAACGTAGGACAAAAACTGCTGAAGAAATCTAAATGAAATTTGGTAATCTTTGAAATAGTCAAACATCCAGAAGACAGAAGCTTCTTCTGATATCATTATGTAATTTATAAAAACGTAGAGATCGAGCAGTTGTGTCTGTAAATCCGGAGTATAGAATAATTATCATACAATTTCAATTTTGATATCCACAGAGTATTCGGCGCGAAGGCGATGCGTCACGCCTTCCTCTTCGACAAGATGCTGCTGGTCACCAAGAACAGGGAGGATGGCATCCTGGCCTACAAGTCACATATCATGGTGAGTGAACAATAGATAAATATAGTTTATAAGGTGTATTTATGGATAGGTCGGCAAACGAGCAGACTAATCTCCCGTTGGTAAGCAATCGACGCCGCCCATGAACACCCGCAGCTCCAGAGTAGTTATAAGTGCGTTACGACCCCTCGGAGGTTAGTGATTTTAGTATTTGGGTTTGGGTTTGTTGGATAGGTTGGATTGGGTCTCCGGTCACCTCACTCGCACAACATAAGCGTTGTTTTACGCGCATTTTTATCGACTTCAAAAAAAGGAGGTGATACTATGTTCGGCTGATTGTATTTTTTTGTGTGAGGCTGTGGTATCACTCCGGTCGAGTCGGCACATTCGAGCCGAAGCATGGCGCTTCTACGCTATATCAATTTTAATTTTAACGTTCCAGTGCAACAACATGATGCTGGTAGAGTCGATTGCGGGCGCTCCGCTGTCATTCCACGTAATCCCGTGGGATGCGCCGCGCGCGCAGCTCACGTTGCAAGCGCGCTCGCCGCGCCACAAACGGGAGTGGACGTTGCTACTCAAAAGGGTACGTAATTACGAAATCTCTCTGTACTTTAACTTTTTGGCACCCTGGTCAGCTATACACTACAAAATGATGTTTTGTAGTCGTATACATTGCAAATAAAAAATCATAGAACCAAAAAGGCATTGCAGTTACATACACATCTTACCCATAAGCTTAAAGCATGTATGTAACAATTGGAAGATAAAACCAATAATTAAACCTCGTCTATCTTCACTGCCGATTCAATATTAACTACTTATGGATTCCAGGTGATCCTCGAGAATTACAACGCAGTTATCCCATCTCACGCCAGACAGTTGGTCATGGAACTCGGACAGAATAAAACTGACGGTAAGCATTTGTAAAATAAATCATTCACTGATACCTACGAATTTAATTACATTACAGGTAATAATTACTATATATGTTTATCTTTGTTATTACAGATGACATGTTAGCAGAGAAATCCCACAATTTAATCACACAAGCATCCATGAGGAAGCAGCTCTCGGCTCCAGAATATCTCGAAAAACGGAAACTGGAGAGAGAGCGACGAAAATCATTTGAAAACGGCACTCGAGGAAGATTGAAAAAAGGCAATAGAAAATACACTATACCCAGCTCCCGAGCAGAAAGCCAGGAATGTGATTGTATTCAATTTTCCGCCGAAAAAGGCACTGACTATACTTGCGAAAACTGCTACATTGATCTTTGTTCCGATTGTGAAAATGAACTCACTAAAACCAAAAGAGAAGACAAATGCAGTTGTAGACACGAGGACAACGAACTCGGTGATAAATGTCCTGAATGTGACAGATCTCTACATTACATAGACTCCGGTAGCGCAGAACACTTAGAAAGAAAACAAGCTGCCTGCAAATGTTCAGACTTCAAATCATCACAAGAGAGTTTTAGCAAAGAATTCAGCAGTTCTCTAAACAAAACACGAGGGTACCATTCATCCGATAATATTATAGGATACACAGACAACAATAAAAGCAAAGAAGATCTCAGTGATACTAACAATTCTTTAACTAACGTCAGACAAATACCGAAAACTTGTTTAAAGTGTGCGAAAATTAAAGAGAATATTGTCACCGATTCTACAAGTACAATTCACTCAAGACGATCAAGATGTAATGATACTGAAAAGTTCAAAACTGATACTCTACGATCCAAGTCTAAAGATGATCCTCAAAGATCAAAACTATCCAAGATAGGAACTTGGAGACGGAAATCTGAACCAGGTCTACAGCAAAACATGATCGGTATTGTTACTAAGAAATCCCAGGACAGTGACAACGAAAGAGAAATAAGGGGTAATGAAAAGATAGAATTCGAATGTAAGAATTGTGGCTCAAACAGAATCACAAAGAAAACTAGAGCAAGCGACGGAACTATCATCTCTGATCCAGAATTAGATGGAAGAAAACGAGTCGGTCCAGTCAAACCAGCCGTAGAAATTAGAATGTACAACACGAAAAACATACCAAAGAAGATTTCTAAAATAAAGAAGAATCGAGCTAAAGGATTGCGTTTGGGATCTGATACAACAGCAAAGTTCTACGCTGATTTTTCGACTGACGTGTCTACTGAAAATATTTTGCATATATCAGAGTCAAATGATAGTTTAAACGTAGATAAACCTAAAGACACACCAAACCCCGTACCTGAAACCATAAGCAAAGACGCAGATATTGACGAAGAAACGTATAAGAAGTTGATAGAAAAGACAGATTCATTTAAAAAGAATGAGTTGGAGAAAGTAAAGTACTTAAATAAGCAAAAAGTGATAAATGAAGGCTCAGAAGCTGAAGATAAAGTTGAAGTTGATAAAAAAGAAGTATTAGAAAGTTGCGAAGAAGTAGAGCAACCTTTAGAACAAATCATTTCTCAGCTACTGATGCAAAATAGGGAGTTCCAAAAGTTAATAAAAAAGCAACAATTAAGGAATACTGCCCAGAGACGACATCAGAGACTAATGAAGTCTCATTCTAATCCCGAACAAGTTGTTTTAGCAAAAAACTTAGAAACAAACAAATTGAAACCTAAATTCGGACGGCAGACTTCCGAGAACTTGGATGGAGACAAACATGATGAAGAAGAAGAAGATTGCACAACAACAAGTTCTAGAACGGAACTGACAGAAGAAATAGATGACGATCATATTTATGAAACGCTAAGAGTGGACAACAGAGTTGACGAGAGTTTACACTCCTTGAACAATAAAAGTAAAGTGATACAGCATAACCCTGTACGACCTAAAAGAGTTCTCACACCACCAAAAAACGATGAGCTCACTGAAATATCTCCCCATATTGGTCCAGATTCCGATTACGTGTACTTATCGTTTGATAAATTGAACAAAATACAAAACCCAGAAGGAATATATGATGTTCCTGTAAGATCTCCAGAAAAAGTCGATAGGAACTCTGATTACTATGTCACTATGGAGAGCAAAGGACCTATCATGGCCGAAAATGTGTATGACTCTTTAATAGAAGTATGTAGGCGAAAAAAAGAAGTACCTAACGACTTACCAGGGGATTATCTTCCAATGAGTCCTGATCAGCAAAGCCCCAATGCCCCTGAAATATGGCTGAGTAGACAAAAAGAACATTTCAATGTATCCAGAGACCGAAAATCTGGTTCATTACCACGGAGCTTTCAAGTAGTTACAGGTACAACTACTCAAGAAGAGAATAATTTAGTGACATTCAAATGTAAACCTAATAGTAATAGCAAAACATATTTAAATAGAGATGGCAAGGTTATGAGTACTGACAGACCATTCACTATAGCGTCTGATCAAAGCGAGATAAATTATGACGATATGAGTGATAGTGACATGCTGAAATTTAATCAATCCAAAACTAGCGAGACAGATTTCGTACAAAATATAAGTCAATCAACATTGGAACTGGAGGAAGAAATTGATAGATGTTATAAGAGCAAGTTCGAAGACATAAATCTGGATAAGAATAAAAATGAAAATCTTTTAACTGTTTCTCAACCGAATTTGAACATATCCACCACATCATCTTGTGAAGTTTTACCTTTAGAGCAAATTGAGGATACGAAGTCTAATGACATTGAAGTAATACACCCAGAACATAAGATTTACAAACCAAATTCGAACATGCTTTCACTCAAAAACGTGCTAAGTCGATTTAAAAGTAGAACTCCCAATAAGAACAATGACGATTCAGAAATTAATGCTAATGATCAAAGCAGTCCCGATAGCACGAAGTCAGACATTAAAAGCCCAACAAGTGAAAAACGACCCAACTTAAATCCCAGGAGTTATTCCAAGAATTTACTACAAAGATTTAGAAGTATAATAGGCGATGAACATACGGATGATAATCAGAATAAAGCAGAAACTATCAACAAAGTTCTGCATACAGAAGATATACAAAATAACTTAGTAAAGAGTGACATTAAAGTTGTAATCACATCTACTGACGCTAGCCCCACCACATCAACTATGGTATATGCACTAAACAACGATATACTCAGTAAAAGCGTTTGTGAGAACAGTACAATGTCTGAAAGTCAAAATGAAAAGAATAATCTCGAAGCTTTATCTTTAAGTTGCGATAATATCACTCAGAAACCAGAAATTCATCGTCCAAGTTACGAAAAAAGTGTCAGCATGGTATCTAGCATTTCCAGTTCGATTGGTTCCCCCATAAAATCAAATAATAGTTCCTATCAAAGCCTGAACAAGCTGCCTATATACATGCAAGGCAGCAAACATCTTGGAGCTAGAATAGCTCAGTCCGACTATGTAGACCCAACGACTCTAGTTAGCGATAAATCTCCACTTAAGAAGGTTAATGTACTTATAAATAAAAACGCTGTGAGACCTGATAGTTTATTTTCTAACTCTTCCTTCGTTACCTCGTCTAGTGAGGGTACATACCAAGAACCGAATAAAGTAAACCCGAATCAAAATACAGAAACTAAAGAACAAAGTCAAACTTCAGTACAAACATCTGATGAGAGTTATTATGAAAAATCGTTTGAGAAGATTGAACAAGTGACTGATGAAGACGTGTTTAGAGATTCCGCAGTGTACTCTGATCAAGAAGATGTTGAAGAGACAAAAACTGAAGCAGTAGGTAAAAATAAAGTGATAAACAAGACTGTTACGAAAGTAGAGAGCATCAAAAGAAACAATTCGTTCAAATCTCAGAAGACAACGATAACTACAACTGTTAGTAAAAAGTTCAACACACATTCTCGTGTAGTCGTGTCAACCAACAAAACAGCGAATATTGAACGTGTTAATAGCAAAATAGAGAAGGTTGTTAAGCCTAAAGTAGCCCCACCGGTCCCTGTAAAACCTAAAATAACGCAAATGCCGTCGACATCGAATATACAAAACAAAAATGTCCCTAAAACTATTTCTAAGAGTTCTGAACAATCCTCATCTTCGGAATCTATCAACATGAAAACTATTAAAAGAAATGTTAACTACAAACCAGCTGTAGTTAGATCAGAATCGACGCCTCCTAAAGAAAAGTCCAATTTAAACGAAGATAAAATGACCAAAAGTGATATCACGTCAAAAGTTGAAGATAAGGCAACGAAAGATGAATTAGATACCGTTGATGATAAACTTAAGCCACAAGGGAGCATACAATTGAAAAGATTGAGTTTCGAAAGAGCCAGTCTTGATTCAGCGACCAGAAAAATGAAATCAAGTACTGACGTAAAGAAATCACTACTGGAACAACCTAAAACATCAAAGTCTGTACTCGAAAGACGAATGGAGATCGAACAAATGGCGAAATCGCAGATAAAAACGAATCAAACGAAGAAACCAACGCAGGCAACCAAACCAAAGTCAATAACGACGAAAGTAGCGAATTTCGAGAGAAGTGTCAGTGACGTAGGTGTGAAAGAGAAAGCAATACCCACTCCCAGTACTGATAAAAACATTCCTAGTAGAAGTAACGTTGATATTAAACCCGAAATTTTAGATGACGTAAAAGGCAGTTGGGTAAAACAGGTTGTTAATAAATTTCAATGAGCTTACTTCATAAGTGATATTTTGCATTTAAACTTCGAATGAAACCAACCAATCAGTGTTAAAGTAGACATTACGCTAGTATCTGATTGGTCAGAGAGCTGTCATTTTGACATTTCAACCGTAAAAAAATTTGAATCTTTGTGAACTGTAGTGTATTTGCGTTATTTCATGAATTGTATCTCATTTTTATTATAAATTAATTAATCTTTATAATATTCTTCTATCGGCTAGTAGCCATATAAAAATTGGCAATAATCTATTGAATATTCCGTCTGTATTTTCTACTCCCAATTTTTGAAATCCATAAACTTAATTCTAGCGATAAGTTTAGGAACCCAGATTTAATAATACGATGTCGAATTTTGTTTAAATATCATTAATTAATGAATAATGAATTAATCGATTAAAAATTCATATCGTTTTTTACAATTTACTCCAAGAACCGACGTCGCGTTATATAAAATCTTAAGATTTATATTTAGTAAGAATAATGCTAATCATTATATTGTAAATAATATCTTGTCAAATCTCCTTGAGCTTTGATATCTCGTGCCATAGATAATGAATTATATTTTGGCAAAGACATCACTACGCACAGTTTTCACCTGTACATAATCTGTGGGAATGCTTATTTTGCTATAATTATTGTATTTATTCAAAAAGTGCCATTGCGATATTAGAAAAGTATTTTAATTGAAGGGAAAATTATTATTTTCGTGCAATCAAATAACGGAACTACTTAAAAGTATTTATTTTTTGTTTAGTAGACATTAAGTTTTGTTGTGTAGCTACTAACACCAAAAAGTAGAGAAGATTGTTTTAGTATTATTTTTTTTACTAATAAATAAAATTATTCGAAATATTATACTCTTTGTTGTTTATTTTCTGGTCTCCAACGATTACCTATTACCCAAGAAATGTAGGTTGCTATTAATATAAACAGGACTGAATCACAAAATGTAATACCAATTATGAGCGTTACAATTATGAACAATAATTTGTGGTCCAGGGACCGATTCCCAGCTCGAACAAAAAGTCATAATAAAGCACACCTATCGACCACAGCTCCAGCGCGGCTCCAACCCAGCGATTAACTTGTCTTTTAAATGTAAACTTTAAATCGTTTGTCGCATGACATATTTCAATCTAAAGTTGTAAGCGCATACCCGCGCGCCGACGACAAGGTGCGCTTTTTTTTGCCGCGGAGAACCTAACGGGTTACCGGGGCTCTGGCTTAAAATGCTGAAGTAGGAACGGGATGGTTTTTAGTCAGTAAGAGTCTGACACTCCCTCCCGCCTCACCCAGGCGGCAGAAGCCATTCGATGATTTTACCCCTTTTAAAAAAAAGGAGTTAATCGTTTAAGGATTTGAGATGGGATTGGGCCGCTTGTTATCTCCTTACTCGGCGATATCTAAAAACAGTGTTGTAACTCGTAACTGACGCCCGAGAGACGAGTAGCAGTGTATTTGACTGAACCGCCTTCGTTGCAATTAAAGAAACAATAGGTAAATATTCCTCATGTATGAGGGTGCGCCTTCGAAATCTACCAACGGCAAATATCAATGTAACTTTTTCCGATTTACATGTATTTTCTAAGATTATTTAGTCATCGCCGAAAAACGGTGAAGGAGAATATCGTGAAGAAACCTGCACTTATAATTTCTAAGTTTAAAATCGCCAACCCGCAATTAGCAAGCGTGGTGATTATAATGCTCAAACCTTCTCCGTGTGAAAAGAGGCTTTGCTCAGCAGTGGGCATTTATAGGCTGTTGATGAAGATGAAATACTTAAGTGGTAGGTCTGTTAAATCTTAGGTATATCTTAGTCTTATACTCTTATACAAACATATACTTATATACTATTATGCCTAATGTATATCTAAAGCTAGAGTTGTTTGAACGCGCTAATCTCAGGAACTACCGGTCCGATTTGGGTTTTTTATGGAATATGAGGCAAACCAGCAGTCTGATCACCTGATAGTAAGCGATCAGCGCTACCCATGAACACCCACAACTTCAGAGGAATCACAGGTGCATTGCCGCACTTTAAAAAAGGAATATTGAGTACTTGCCAACCAGTCAAATTCAATACTTTTTTCAAACTGTCAGAAACGACAGTTTTCTTTGAATTTTGTACGAGACTGTGTATTGTGACGTCACGGTTTTATAGCTTCAAACAGAATACTGTTTATTTGTTAAAAATTTGCTGGAAGAATACTAAAATTAAGTTGGTCATAAAATCAATTAACGAACATGTTATTATTTTTTAATATTTTATTGTACTGAACAGTCGAAATAATTAATTTTTGATTAATGAAAGTATCCAATTCTTATCTGTTGGATAGTCCAACGAGGAAGGCCGTAGGACGCCGAGCAGAGTGAGTGGAACCGCAGTGAATTAGCCATTTTTTTTTTTTTTTTTTTTTTTTTTATTTATTGGAACCACAAACAAGTTTACAATACAACTTAATATTTATATCTTAACTAATACAATTTTACTTATTGCAAACTCAACATCAATGGTCACCTAAATATAAATGATTTAGAAAATGATGAACCTGCACCTCAATATAATCAAGTTTCATAGGAAGTGTTACCGTGGTGAAAATAATTAGAAAAAAAGAATGCGTATATGTATGCATGCATATGTTTGTTTGCTTTGTGTGTGTCTGTGTGTGTAGGTTGCAGTTATAACACAACATAACGATGTACGATATTGTGGTTTATATATTTTCCTGTGATAACATTTTGATTATTTGCTTTCTGTATGCATGTTTACTATTGCTAAATATATCCAATGTACTCAACTTATCATTATATGTCCCAAACATTCGATTCAGCGGGGACCGACTGCCGGCGTTAGTACGTGATCGCGTTTTAGCAAAGACCTGCTTATGACGAGAGGCTCTCACATGGGCTCTCAAGGGCACGGAATATGTTATTTTATTTAATATTTTTATACAATCATATTTGTTATTACAGATATCAAACAACAACATAGCCTCCAGTTGCAATCTTCTAGACTTGAGATCAAGTAACTTATATAACTTAAGCAGTGCCTTGTAAGGTAATTGTTTACGAAGACATTTAAAATTAGTATAACGTAGAAACTTCTTTTGTACCCTTTCTAAGCCATTTTCATATTTTTGGTAAATTGGGTTCCATATAGCAACAGCGTACTCAAGTTGCGGCCTTATTAAAGATTTAAAGAGATAGGTAAAGGTAGATGGATTTCTGAATTCACTGGCTGACCTCATGACAAATCCGTACATTTTAAAGGCGTTATTAATAATATTTTCTATATGAATATCAAAGTGTAATTTGTTGTCTATAGTAATACCCAAGTCTCTGATAGACAGTACTTTCTCAATGTTAGTTCCACACAGTGAATATTGTATTGCTAACTACTTTTTTTTTACTAAAGCTAATACTTTTACATTTGTTAAGACTAAGCTCCAATTTGTTTTCGAGGCAATATAGGCTGAATCTATCCAGGTCTTCTTGAAGATAGATGTGGTCTTGGTAGCTATTTATTCTTACATATATTTTCAAGTCATCAGCATAGAGTAGAAAGTCACTACTGAGGAAACATTTGTCAACGTCATTAATAAAGATAACGAATAGCAGTGGACCTAGGATAGATCCCTGTGGAACGCCAGAACTTACTATAGTGGTGTTTGACTCATAACCCCCAATTGCAACCCTCTGTGTTCTACCAGAAATGTAAGACTTGAACCACCTCCACAGGTCACCCCTTATACCATTGAATGCAATCTTTTCTAGCAATTTACGATGATCTACGCGGTCAAATGCTTTGCGGAAATCTGTATAAATACTGTCAATTTGGGTATTAGCATCAAGCCCTTCAAATAGATCTGTAGTATATGCTAGAAGATTTGTCACAGTTGATCGTCTCTTAACAAATCCATGTTGCTGTTGTAAGATATGAATGTAGTAGAGGATATAGCATTGTGGACTAGTCTCTCAAAGATTTTAGAAAGTACCGGCAATATTGATATAGGTCGGTAATTCTCGACGTCATTTTTTGAACCACCTTTATACACAGGTACGATCCTCGCGCTCTTCCATATTTTTGGTACTACACCCTCAGTCAAACATCTATTGAAGAGATAACATAGAGGCTGATCAATAACTGTTGCAGTTTCCTTAAAGAAGATGGGCGGTATGTTATCTGCTCCGGAACCCTTAGTAATATCTAGCGATTTTAATGACTTGCAGATTTCAGTTCTGGTCAAGGTAAGATTACTGATTGTAACATCCGACATGTTTCCCGATTCGGTGCCAAGGTCAGCTATGGTTAAGTTTTCAGTTACATCAGAAGGCCGGTAAACCGAGAGAAAAAAATTACTAAATAAATTACAGGCCTCTTCGATAGTACCAGCCCTGATCGATTTGTATTGTATATCTGTAGGTATATCTGTTGAGCGCTTGCGATGGGAAACATAACTCCAAAAATACTTTATGTTAACCTTTATGCTAGTCTCTAATAACGCCATATACTGCATGTAACATTTTTCCGACATGATCTTAAATTCCTTTCTATATCTAGAGAAAATGTTATAGTTTGATTCACTATAATACTTTTTCATTCTAATCCATGCTTGATTTTTTTTCTTGGATAATTTTATCAATTTAGCCGTGAACCAGACCGGGTACGATTGTGATTTAATAACTTTAATAAAAAAACAAAGAATTGATATTGCTACTGTCGAATAAATGATTTTTCTTTCTTCTTCTTCTCTATCGGGTAAATAGGGTAAGTAGGTCTGTAAAGTTAAAAAAAACAACAACATAAAAAGGTACACAACAAGAATAGTTTGTAGAAAATCTTCAAAGGTTTGTAAGGAAGCGTTTGGTTCAGAATATAACGAGGTTGGTCACGCGAGGTACGACTGGAGTACGGCACTGACTTACACCGCCAGCCGGAGATACGATCAGGGAAATAGAGCCTTATGTTCATGTTTATTTGTCTTCACCAACGACACTATGTAACTTAAGAACTGAGACCCCTTGCCCGGCATTCGCACTTGCGACCACTCGGCCAACGAGGCAGTCATGTTATAAATAATAATAAATAAATAATGTTTATTTGGTGTAAAAATCCAGATTACAAAATAAATCTTATTACTTAAATAAAGTCTAAGTTTATATAAAACCTGAACTAGGTAAAACTAAAAATCAATGGCTAATTTAAATTAAGTTAGTTATCTAAGTATAACAGGTGCGCGTGTACAATTCATAAACCAACGTAAGCAAAAATAAGTAAATCAAGTATAATAAAATTATTTGCTTACTTCAAGTAATTCCTCGTACTAATACAGTATTTGATTGAGAACCTGATTGAAAGTAAATTATAGAGTTTCTTGCTCGATCTTCTCCATAGAAATCTACAGTTGGACTTGGAAGGAACCAATAGCTTAATTGAAAGGCTGACCGACAGATTTCAATTTTTTTGTCGACGTTCAAAAGTGCCTGCGTGGTCTATTTGAAATAAAATAATGATTTTGACTTTGACTTTGACCGCCTTTACGGTGGAGTGGACCGTTATAACGCAATTGAATACTTAACTTATTTACAGGTCCAGGTCTAATATTCAGGATTTTAATTATGCCTTTATTTTCAGTATTTAAATATTTTCAATAGTAACATGATCTCGAGTTCGATCTCCCGGTCAGGTATACAGATTTATATGACTTTCTTTTCGATTTTTGATCTTTGGTGCGTAAGGTAATGGTAAAGGGGGACTCTTTTTTAATATTTCTGTGGGGGCACTCTTCTATTACGCGGGACTCGTGATGAAAAACCGCCCGACCGGGAATCAAACTTGAGACCAGCTAAACATAGGCCACTATTTTAAACCTCTATATTTCCAGCTACCTTACACATAGGTGGAAGCCTATGATGCCATATTTGAATCTTATGTTAGAATACTGAATGTCGTAGACAGTAGGTAGGTATTTTGGACGATTTTGGAAGCAGAAACTACTAATAGCCCTTTAAATCTGTGTAAGTAAGCTATGTAAGGTCAAAATCCTGAATCCCCAACGTTCCTCAAACTCCTAATCCCCAAAATGCCTGTAACGCACTTGTAACGCCTCTGGTGTTCCAGGTGTCCATGGGCAACGCCGATTGCTTACCGATTGGTGATCCGTCTGCTCGTTTACCGGCTTATTACATAAAAAAAGAAGGTCAAAATCCAATAATGGCGGTAGGTGTATCAGTGATGAAACTGTGAAAAATTACCTACACCAAAAGTACATACATAACTTCACGCCTGTCTCACATGGAGGTAGGCAGAGACTATGGAATGCCAATTACTACGATTCCTACATACCTCTTTCGCTTCATCAACAGTCATCTATATTTTCATGCATGCTCGTCGGTTAAGGGTACTTTTAATTTGGCCCTTCTTTAATATATCGCTAATCTAGTCAGTACATGTCCGTCTAAGGCGCCCTCTAAGGACGACGGCCCCATTCATATCCGCTCTGTATACTTCTTTCGTTACTCTACTTTCATCCATCACTTCTTCGTGTCCAAAGTTCCAAAAGTCAAAAAGTCAAAAATCATTTATTTCAATTAGACCAGGAAGGCACTTTTGAACGTCAGCAATAGAAATTTAAAAATGAAGCTATTTGCTCATTCCAAGGTGTAGATTCCTATGGAGAAGAACGAGCAAGAAACTCCATAGGTTACTCTTTTCCGATCAGTTTCACAATACAATTCTTCAGTTACACAGTTTTATTGGTTTGATTGTGCGAGAACAACGTAACACCAAATCTAGCCAAAGAGATCGAAAAAGAAAATAACCCTTAAAGACAATAAAACAGTCTGGAGCTGACCAGTCACAGTTGACGGCGCCCGTTCACGAACATGACACGTACACCAGCACCGCCCAACTCAATCATATTGCAGGGAATCTAGCGACCCAATGCACGTGCCACCGCCAATTCGATCTTTGAGTGAACATGACAACTCCAAGCTGACATAAATGCATTCTACTAGTCCAATTTAATATTTAGTTAATTACAGGGCTCTCACATTAACAATGATTATGCAAGTTAAACCATATACATTTAAGCAACTACGTTGTAATATTTAGGTTGAATTTCATTGACACATCAATGTTTTTCGTTATCCCGTGGAGCTGGACCAGCGTGCATCCAAGCATTTTTATCTTCTATATAATCATTAATTTTGTAATATGCTTGTCTACATAAAGTTTTTTTTATACATAATTTAAATTTCATTTCATTTAGGTGCTGTATATCGCTTGGTATCTTGTTATAACATTTAACACAGAATCCCATGAACGATTTACCCACTTTCGCCAATCTCAAAATTGGCTGACTTAATCTATCCTTATGTCTAGTTTGATAGTGGTGTCTGTCCGACACTTTACCAAATAACTGTAGATTTTTCCTAACATACATAATGTTTTCATAGATAAATTGACATGGAACGGTCATAATGTTGATCTCTTTAAACCTCTCTCTGAGAGATTCGCGACGACCTAGGTTGTAGATAGCTCTGACGGCGCGCTTTTGTAAGATAAAGATAGACTCAATGTCAGCAGCGTGTCCCCACAGCAGAATGCCATACGACATAATGCTATGAAAGTAACTGAAGTACACTAGTACAGCTATATCTACCAAGTCAGGGCCGATTATTAATCAATATTAAAAATGCATTAACAGAACACAAAAAGCTTTATGCCATGGTTCAATTCAACCTCAAATAGTTACCTAACTGGAATAGATCGCACGCAAACAAAAACAAACCCTAACCTAAAAACATCGTCAACAATGAAAACTTACTTGAAAATTCTATCACCTAATATTAAAAAGATATTAAATGAAAACGCAACAGTAATTTGCATAATAAACAAGAAAACTACGTGAATCTAATTATGTGGATGACTCAGGCGACGTAAAATGCCATGATTTGTGGCGAAGCTGCCATCTTTGTTGCGTGATCGACGATGTATTTTCCCTCCAAAAAGTTATTAGCTCGTCTTCGATGCACGCTAGACACTGCCTGTCGCGTAGTCTAAGAGGCAGATTTCTACAATTATTGTAGTGTATGGAATTCGAATTATATTACTCTTAAATGTGTATTTGTTAAGTTTTTGTACGGTTAGGTACTAAAAGTGACTAGTGATATTAGAAAATAAAATTAAGTTAGATTTGGTATCTAGGTTTCTAGGTGATCCAACAGGGCTGATGCCGATACGGAGCCGCGGAAGACTTAACGGGTTGCCGGGGCTCCGGCTCGAAGTGCAGGAGTAGGAACGGGGTGGTTTTTAGTCAGTAAGAGTCTGACACTTCCTCTCCCCTCACCCGGGCGGGATTCGATGATTTTCGCCCTCAAAAAAAAGGTCTCTAGGTGATTAGTTATGTCACTTTTTCTGGGAACATGGTTGCTATGCTTATTATTATTTGTATTAAGTTAGTTAGTGCTAGAATAAATGGTTGTAATTAATAAAAGGAGTACTAACCACAACATGTAGTTATTATGTGTTTTTATATTAAACTTATCATAAACTTTGAAAGTCTTTTTTTAAGGAATCATCGAATGACTTCTCCCGCCTGGATGATGCGGGAGGGAGTGTCAGACTCTTACTTACTAAAAGTTCACCCCGTTCCAACTCCTGCAATTCGAGCCGCGGCCCTGGTAGCCCGTTCAGTTCTCCGCGGCTCCATATCGGAACTTTGAAATTCTAATGCTTAATAATTAAGAGCCTCCTCATGTTGAGCAACAGTTTGAGATTATAATATCGAAAAGAAACAGATGATCTGTTTATAAGGAATACGACTGATTAGTATTTTGTTAATCGAACTGACGACTGTATAATTTTCCGCGCTAGCTCCTGGACTATTCATCCTGAAGAAAAACTTTTCCATCGATTTGAAACGGACATAGCCATTATTCCCGCGCGTGCAAGCGGGACAAAACACAGGAAGGAGCAAAAAGTTCTTATTTCGAAATCTCATTCCTTTTTCGTCAAGCCTATTGGAGGCAGCTCGCGCCCGCGATGCCTTCCATATTCGAAAATTTGAATTTATAGGTTCCTTATCGTGTCGGTTTACCAGTACCTATTGCAAAATATCAATTTTAATACTTTCCCGTTGGCATAAATTTTGCATTGTTTTGAATATAAATTGCGATAGATTCGGATAGTTGGCGTGTTAGTGATAGTATGGGTTCGACAAGTTACGTCACAAAGCCGAAGTCGACGGGCTACCGAGTGAAGAGTGGTTCCAGTGTGGGTTCTGACAAAGAGATGAGCGCCAAGTTGAAGCGCACTAAAATTCGGCAAGTATAATCGACCTGTTAAAAAGCTTTTATGTGAGTAGTAGTGCTGCACGTTAGCTATGGAAGATACGAATTAAGGATTCGAGAGAAAATTTTAATCGCTGGTATGCATTTTGATTATTAATCGATAACAGAATATTTTCTATTGCGAAATAAATAACTAAATTATGAAACTTAAATCACAATCTTGATTAACTTTCGTATAATAATTGAAAGTAGAGTGTTTATTACAATCTTTTTTAGAATTACAATTGCGTAAAGTTGGTGAAAACGAGATTTTCTGTATGTGTGCAGCTTTATGCATCACAGTACTTTTTTTAAAACCCTTTTTAGCTTCTTTATATTTTTTCAAATTCTTTCAATTGTAATCTACAAAAATTTGAATAAGTATCTACGAATATTTTAAACTAATTGAAACCCGACTTCACAACGCAACGGAGGGTAACTAAAGTATTTTTCATTATATGGTAGGCAGGCACCTTTGAGAAAGTGTAGTGAAATTATATTTTTTAATCTCTTAATATTTTATATCTCTTAATATAAATTTTAACGATTGTTAATCATGGGTAAATAACACTTTTATAATGCACATATTTCTGATGCACATAACACATTTCAATAGCCGAAGGGATGGGCAGACGTATTTTAGAGGCCACCTATGTTTACCATTTATGAGTCAGGAGTCAAGCGCACCCTCTAAACCACGCAAAATTGAGACTTTCGATGTCGAAAAACCCACCTTAGGTGGTGAACTCAGGCTCTTATACTCAGTAGTCTAACCTTTGAAATAAATTGCCAATGAAAATCGCATGTCACTGAAAAAACTAATTAAGTCAGGCCCAATTTAATCTCGTCTAAGTTATCACAGGTGATAAATCGATTGCATGTACCTTGCACTCGTCGCGAAGCAATTGTTTACTACAACAACCGTCACCATGGCAACCGCTTTGTATAATCGATACCTGGTGAAATAATCCCGCACTCGAGTCCCCGGCGCAATGCGCAACACTAGTTCCAAATTCAACATTTGATTTTTATTTTTATTTTTTTGTTTCGAATATTTTTAAAGTTTTAAAATGTTTTATTGCTGTGTTTGTTAAGTTTTTAATTATGTATTATACGAATTATTTGAATAGGCGGCCAAGTAAGATGAACGAGTATGGGTTGAAGAGGATACCTGATTACACCGAATTGGCTTACAAAGAAGCGGTGTCGAAACTACGGTACTTCTTGTCTGGGAATTACGCGCCAAGTGTGAGTAGCTATCTTTTTTACCATAATGTTTTAAATTATGTTTTTAAATTACATACAAAATATTTTAATCAGTATAAATACAGCATATAAGCAAGTTTTAGTTAGTTAAATACTTGAATGAATAATGTTATCTCGAATCTAAATTGGATGACATAGATAAAATTTTGTATATCGATTTCAAATTAAGTATTTTTGTACGCCATTGATTTGAAGTACCAGTCAGCTTTGGGGTTTAGGTACTATATATACTTTAAGTTTTGTAGAACGTGATAGTATTAAATACCTTTTTTTATACATATATATTTTTTTAAAACGTTGCCCCACACTGGTATTTTCTTCTTAGTCGAGTGTGCGTTTACAAACATACAATATCACATACACATGATACCCAGACCAGAAACAACAATTTGTGGATCACACGAAAAGTTGCTCCGTGCGGGAATTAAACCCGCTACATGTTGCGCGGCAGCCGGTTGCCAGCCACCGCGCCAACAGTGCAGTCAATGCTTAGAACAGTTTGAAAAAATAATTTAAAATAAGTATTTAAAAAAGTTACGTTTCGCACTAGGTTGGTACTTATTATTATCTCTTGTGTCATGAGTAGGAATTTAAGTATGTGCTAACATTTGATGTTACTTAAAATGGGTAAACAGAAGTACTTATGTGAGTTTTTCCGCCGGGTGGCTTCTGCCACAGTAATATTATCGTATGCTACTACTTTTATTTATTTATTTATTTAATAAGGTCAACCAACGACTGTTTACACATCACATTACAACAAATCGGTTTAGATACAATATGCATTTCCTAGTGTAACAATCAATTAAAGGCTAATACATCATGCACAAGAGAATAGTTAGGTATTAGCCTAAGTTTAAATTATTAAATTAAATTAAATTAATAAACACAAAACACAACAATTAAATTAACACAAAAATTAAATTATTAAACACAAATACAAAATTGCTATAAACAGAAATCTATTTAATCTATATATCTATAATCTATAATATATCTACTACTACTTAACAGGTTATACTACATACATTGTTACTCAGCCGTATGACAGAGTTAAATACCTACAGCCGCGCGGTACGTACACATGCGTTAGGGCTGCCCGTCTCCAGCATTTTAATTACATTTGCCTACTTTCTGTTTCTATTTCTATTTGTAATTGTAAATATCCTTTTTCATATATATAACATAACATAATATAACATAACATAACATCACGCCTTTTATCCCCGAAGGGGTAGGCAGAGGTGCACATTATGCCACTGTACTGTACAATGTAACACCCACTTTTCACTATTTATGAGTTCCATGTAATAGGGGGTGAGCCCATTGCCATATACGGGGCACAATTCCAGACTTAATTTTTGAAAATATTTTTTTTTTTGCAAAACAAATTTGCGACCGAAAAGCATTAATTGCAAAAAAAATATAAACAAACACAGTACAATATTTCCTACTCGTCATAATATATGTACTCGAACTGATTTTTAGAGAAAAATCGCGCAGTTATTGTTAAAAAAAACAACACACCGTCCGTTCGTCATTGCGATACAGTTGTGACAGTCTGTCGCGGAGAACCTAACGGGTTTCTGGGGCTCCGGCTCGACGTGCAGGAGAAGGAACGGGGTGGTTTTTAGTCAGTAAGAGTCTGACACTCCCTTCCGCCTCATCCAGGCGGGAGAAGTCATTCGATGATTTTCCCCCCTTAAAAAAAAGGCGTGACTATCTGCGCTCCAACCGCACACCGAGATCGAAGCGCGTAGGTATAGCTCGCGTTTCGTCCGTTTGTATGATGTTGGAATACTGTATGATAATATTACCGTCCTTCTGCTTAGTCCAGTACGGTATGGATTCAATTCCCGCGCAGAAAAAACCATTTCTGTGATCACCAAATTGTTGTTCCGTTACTATTACAAATTACAATCTAATTAATGTATATGTTAATGCAATTAAAATGCATAACAAAATAAGCCCAGACAAATTAAAAACAATCTTAATTTAAGCCACTCAAAGTTTCAAATCCAATGACTCAGGTACGTAGTTACGGCGGTTCAGCATCAGTGAAGAACTTGGACGAGTCGGATGGCGACTTGGACAAGAAGTACACAAGCTCCTACACCCTCGCGGAGTACAAGCCGCGGCCGCGCCTCACTACCAAATATGCCACCCTGTACGCCGATAGCCTGAACAACTACACGCCGCCACACGTTAATACGACCTGTAAGTACCTACTTAAATACTTATTTATATTTAAGTTTATAGTAGATATTACTTTTTTTTGTTTCCTTTTCTTTCAGTTTTCAGTTATTTCTATTTTATAATACCTATTAACTAGCGACCCGCCCCGGCTTTGCACGGGTGTAATATGTATGTTATGTATTATACATATAAACCTTCCTTAAGAATCACTCTATCTATTAAAAAAACCGCATCAAAATCCGTTGCGTAGTTTTAAAGAGCTAAGCATACATAGGGACAGACAGACGGCGGATAGCGACTTTGTTTTACACCATGTAGTGGTTCTTTTCATCCCATAACAGTCTAAATTCGAAGCCTCTTTCAACAGCCGTGCCTCCAGCTACTGCGACCGCTGGTGACGTCACAGGCGGGACCAACCCTGACGTCATCAACTTCATACAGAAGCAGGAGGAGTATATAGAACAGCTCGAGAGAGAGAGCCAGTACTGCAGGGTAAGTGGGGTCTGATGAGGAGCATTCTACTGGTCTATTTCAGGCCATGATCGCTGTTAGAAGACGGTTCGAAGATGAAACAAAAGATTTTTATCCTATTTGTGTAAAACGATGTGTCTCGGTGTCGTTATTTCTTAGCTGAGATTTAAAAATCCCAGTAGTACTTTGCCCGACCCGGGAATCGAACCCGAGACCCCTTGCTCTCAGTCCCCTTGCACTTGCGACCACTGGGCCAACCAGGTAGTCCAAGTCCAGTGAGTTGAATTTAGTTATATTTTAGGTATTATTATATGACTTTACTTATTTCTCATTTAGGATGAATTGAACAACTTGCTAGGCAAGGTCAAGGAGGTGATCTCAGAGAACGAGCATCTACACGAGGCTCAGAAGAACAAGTTGATCTCTCGCATGTTTCATTCTTATAATGGATCCGAGAGTGACGACCTGGATGAGTTGGGCGACAGCACTGGACTGGATAGCGATAATAAGGTAAGACTCAATGTAGGTAAAGGAAACTTTTTTTTTTTTTATTCCCAGCAATATCCTTACAGACTAATCCAAATCGATATTGAGGCCTCTTATATTAATTAACTAACCATAACAAATGCTTCGAAGTGCTACTTTAGTGAATTCACTCAGAGTGCAATAAAACATATCAACGTCTTCAGCTATGTGGTTGAGCGTGCGCAGTGCGCGCTCGCGGCACCGCCAGTAGGCGCGGCCGTCGACTTCAACAGAAGTCTCTCTGAAGGATGACCTCACCTCAGTGATCCATTCTTATAATGGATCACATGCACTTGGACAAGCTAAAGAATAACAGTGCCTTGCATATACATGATAATAAAAGACCAAAGACACTCTAGGTGCTAGACTTTATATCTCTTCTACGGTAATCGTGGAAACACTTATTATTTGGGGAGAGAATCCTCCAATGACTTCTCCCGCCTTGGGTGAGGCGAGAGGGAGTGTCAGACTCTTACTGAATAAAAACCACCCCGGTCCTACTCCTGCTATTCGAGTCGGAGCTCCGGCAACCCGTTAGACCTTTCCCGGATCCGTATCGGGCGTCAGCCCTACTGGTCTGTGGTGGTTTGATGGCTCTTTGAGGCGCGTGCGACACGCCATACTTAAGAGACTGGTTCTGGTCGGGCGGCGAGCTACCCTTGCTCCCCGTCTATTGGAAATCGTATTTGCAAATGGTATATCAGAGAGAGGTGGCCGGTCCATCTCAAACTTATAATGCTTTAGGCGGTTTTAAGACACTTGCAGAGAGTTTGGACCGATCACAAATTCAAAGATAAAAAGTGTAGTTCTGTCCGTCGATCCCTCAGTGTGTAGCTATTTGCTTGTCTCAAAGTGCAGATTTCTGGTGAAGAAAATCAGCAGAAATTTTTTAAAAAGCGTTGAATTTTATTGTCCATAGACGACTCCGCTGAAAGCTCGGAAGTCTGCAAAGGCACGTTCCACCAGACTGGAAGGACCCAACATTGTGTTCGAGTCGCGCATTGCTGAGCTGGAAGCTCAACTTACACAAGCTAAAATCGATCTAAAGAAGGTTCAGGTAAGGTGTTCATTCAAGGAGAGGGAGATAAATAAAAAAGAAAGGGAATACGATGAAGGGGTTATTTTTAGATGTTTTTAAATACTCAAAATGTAAAGTTAATTTTCGGTTTAAAAGGACCAAAGCTTCAAGTATTTAACTTATTGGACTTCTGGAATTTGAACAGAGTGGTACAATAAATTTGTCCTGTATTTATGTTTATAGGAAGAGAATAATGAGAACAAGCGCAAGTTGGCCTCTGGGCTGGTTGACTCAACCTGCCTCGACGGCTTCAAGCGCCAAATTGACAATCTCCAGAGGTAAGCGTCCTACTTATACTTAGGTATAAAGAGTCCTACTTATACTAAGGATATAGATAGAGATAGATAGATAGTCCACTGCTAGACTATGAGCCTCCTCTACAAGAGAGGGTTTTGCCATAATCTCCAGGCTTGGGAGGCAGCTCAAAAGATTCTGATTTAAAACAGAGCGAGATATCAGTCAAATGTAAGGGACTACTTTTAGTCAGCTCTGGTGATACCCATGGTAAGACAAGCGGAGAGGAGAGGAGACAAGAGGGGATATGTTTGAATAAATCAATCCGATTTCGTTATATCCACATCTCTTCTCCGCTTAGCTCCACTCCGCTCTCTTTAGAAACGAATTAAGCAGAGAGAAAAGAAGATGCCTCATTTTTCTATAGAATTTTGTAAGGCGACCAAGCAAGCAGCGCGGCAGAGTGGAGATGTCTAAGGCGGCGTACTCGCTCACGCACCCCATTGCTTTCTTCTCGCACCTTGCACATCCGAAAGTGTCCTTTATTTATCAAAGCTCACATCTCCTCTCCGCTACACTTCACCTCTCTGCTTTGATGAAAATAACCTGCCAGCTTCGCAGCACATCTCCTCTCCTCTCCGGTTTGGTGTAAATCGGGCTTAAGGGTGATGACAAATGATTTTACTCTGCCGTCTCCACACGACCAACTACAATTTATGTTTATTTCTTTTAAATTGATTTTTTATACTTAAATTAATTTGTATTATAATTGACAACACAAAATTTATTAATTTTTACAGTATTTTTTGTACAGTCAGCAATAAATTATTATTATTTATACTGTACAAAATATCCAATATTTGCTTCTAATTTGAACAGGGACAAGTCTTCGCTGGAGTCTCAGATATCGAAACTGAAGTTAAGCTTAGAGCAACGAGATGATGATGGCCGCTACAAACGAGGGTCGGATGCAGTGGAACACCAGCTCAGGGAGGAACGGAACAACTTGGAGGCTGAGTTGCGGCGGCTTAAGGTATGGTCTTTTATATAGGAAATCGGTCGGCGTTTACTTATCGTTTAATATGAATGTGTGACTGACTGATGAAGGGAAGAATAACTGACTGAATGAATGGATGAATGAATGAATGAATGAGTATTTGTACGAATGACTGATTTTATTAATACTTATTAAATTACTAAATTTTGTTTCTATTATTAAGTTGGAGTATCCTAACACAGGCAAATATGCTTGTGGAGCCTCCTATCCTTTTTCATCTGTTCTCTTAGGATGACCTAGCTAAGGAGCGCAGTAAGGTCCGCGAGCTAGCCGGTGAGGGCGCGCGGCGAGCTATACAGGAGCGCAGCGCCGCCGAGCAGCGATACAACGCACACTTCGACGAGCTGCAACACGACCTCGCCGCGCAGTATGACAATGTCGCCAAGTTACAGGTACAGAACAACAACCAATGCATCATTTATTTATACATTCATTCATTAATTCATTCATCAACTGCCTCGTTGGCTCCCGGGTCGGGCAAAGTATTACTGGGTTTTTAAAAAAAATCTCAGTATTAGCACGGAGTCTGGAATTGTGCTTGGTATATGGCAATAGGCTCATCCCCTATTACATGGGACTCATAACATAAGTAGTGAAAAGTGGGTGTTACATATGTGTGCACCTCTGCCTTCGGGGATAAAAGGCGTGATGTTATGTTAATGTCATTCATTCATTCTACTATTCAATCATTCATTCATTGACTCATTCATTTATTCATTCATCCTATCATTCATTCAATCATTCATTTATTCATTTGTTTATTTATTCGTTCATTGAGTAAAAAACAATGAGATGTCTCCAGAGTTCTGTCTGCTCAAAATTCAATGTTTTATACTTAAACACCAAATAAGCAAATACATTTCACACTCCTTAAAACTGTTAAAATCTCTGAATTACAATTAATGCTGCACATTCTAAACAGTTGGACTTGGAGCGCCAACGTCGTGAAGAGAACGAACTAAAACGAGAACTGTCAATGAAGAATGCTGCCATCGATGAACTTAAGATGGAGCTGAAGAACAAAATTTGTAAGTACTAGCTACTTCACTGGCCGAGTGGTCGCAAGTGCGATTCCCGAACGGGCAAACTATTACTGGGCTTTTCATATATAAATCTCAGTAGTAGCACGGAGTCTGGAATTGTACCCGGTATATGGCAATAGGCTCACCCCCTATTAATGGGACCCATAAGTGCCCTAATATATACCTCTGCCTACCCCTTGGGGGATAAAAAGGCGTGATATTATGTTATGTAGCTTCGCCGCGGTTTCAACTTTCAACCAATCTGCTTGGCTTCTGTAGGTCGTAGCGTGATGTTTTATGGCCTATAGCTTTCCTCGATAATGGATTATCCAACACAAAAAGTTTTTTTCAGAACAAATCAGTAGTTTCAGATATTGACGCGTTCAAACAAAAATCTCTTCAGCTTTAATAAAAAAAGTATAAGACAACATAAAACTTGAAAGTCATAGAGAAATCATACCAATAATATAAAAAAAAATGGATTGAAGTATCTGTTTATAAGTGCAAAGTCAAAGTCAAAGCATTTATTTCAATTAATCCTTAATTTAGGCACTTTTGAAACGTCAAAAATTTAATTGTCTGCCTGTCTATCAGTGAAGCTAGTCGCTCGTTCCAAAGTGTAGTTTCGAATGGAGAAGAACGAGTAAGCAACTCCATCGTTACTCTTTTAAAAATGTCTTTTTTATAGTCTCATTGATACATTATCTGATCCTTTACCTAATGTATATGTTACGGCTAATACCCGAAGTGCGCCTCCGAGTTTTAGCCGGTTAGAACTAGGTGTACCCACTTACCCTTGGTTAAATCTAGTACGAACTGATTGTTTTCGGGTAAAACTAGGTCTAGTTTTCATCATGCCGGCTACAACAAGGTCCAAGCATTCCCTGTTGGATAAAACTAGGTCTATCCGATATCATTCCGGCTAGAACTCGGCACTAGCCAGCCAATTAAGGCAAGCCGGAGAGTAAGGAACGGTAACTTCTCCCTTGAGCACTCGGGATGATGGTAGCCCGCGGGGTCGCTAATGCCCGTCACCTCGCCTCAAGGTGCCCTGCAGCTTTGAATTTGTAATCTATCGAGCGTCCTCGAAAACCATCGAGCGTCCTCGAAATCTATCGAGCGCCCTCGAAACCTACCGAGCGTCCTCGATCACTTTCAAGTTACTCGAAATCTATCGAACGTCCTCGAAAACAATCGAGCGTCCTCGATCACTTTCAAGTTACTCGAAATCTATCGAGCGTCCTCGAAAACAATCGAGCGTCCTCAAAATCTATCGAGCGTCCTCGAAATCTATCGAGTGTCCTCGAAATCTATCGAGCGTCCTCGAAATCTATCGAGCGTCCTCGAAAACAATCGAGCGTCCTCGAAAACTATCGAGCGTCCTCGAAATCTATCGAGCGTCCTCGAAAACAATCGAGCGTCCTCGAAATCTATCGAGCGTCCTCGAAAACAATCGAGCGTCCTCAAAATCTATCGAGCGTCCTCGAAATCTATCGAGTGTCCTCGAAATCTATCGAGCGTCCTCGAAATCTATCGAGCGTCCTCGAAAACAATCGAGCGTCCTCGAAATCTATCGAGCGTCCTCGAAATCTATCGAGCGTCCTCGAAAACAATCGAGCGTCCTCGAAATCGATCGAGCGTCCTCGAATACAATCGACCGTCCTCGAAAACTATCGAGCGTCCTCGAAATCGATCGAGCGTCCTCGAAAACTATCGAGCGTCCTCGAAAACAATCGAGCGTGCTCGAAAACTATCGAGCATCCTCGAAATCTATCGAGCTTCCTCGAAAACAATTGAGCGTCCTCGAAATCGATCGAGCGTCCTCGAAAACTATCGAGCGTGCCCGAAAACTAACGAGCGTCCTCGAAAACAATCGAGCGTGCTCGAAAACTATCGAGCATCCTCGAAATCTATCGAGCTTCCTCGAAAACAATCGAGTGTCCTCGAAATCGATCGAGCGTCCTCGAAAACTATCGAGCCTGCTCGAAAACAATCGAGCGTCCTCGAAATCGATCGAGCGTCCTCGAAAACAATCGAGCGTCCTCGAAAACTATCGAGCGTCCTCGAAATCGATCGAGCTTCCTCGAAAACTATCGAGCGTCCTCGAAAACTATCGAGCTTCCTCGAAATCTATCGAGCTTCCTCGAAAACTATCGTGCATCCTCGAAAACAATTGAGCGTCCTCGAAATCGATCGAGCGTCCTCGAAAACTATCGAGCGTGCTCGAAAACTATCGAGCGTCCTCGAAAACAATCGAGCGTGCTCGAAAACTATCGAGCATCCTCGAAATCTATCGAGCTTCCTCGAAAACAATTGAGCGTCCTCGAAATGGATCGAGCGTCCTCGAAAACTATCGAGCGTGCTCGAAAACTAACGAGCGTCCTCGAAAACAATCGAGCGTGCTCGAAAACTATCGAGCGTCCTCGAAATCTATCGAGCTTCCTCGAAAACAACCGAGCGTGCTCGAAATCGATCGAGCGTCCTCGAAAACTATCGAGCGTGCTCGAAAACTAACGAGCGTCCTCGAAAACAATCGAGCGTCCTCGAAATCGATCGAGCGTCCTCGAAATCGATCGAGCGTGCTCGAAAACTATCGAGCATCCTCGAAATCTATCGAGCTTCCTCGAAAACAATTGAGCGTCCTCGAAATCGATCGAGCCTCCTCGAAAACTATCGAGCGTGCTCGAAAACTATCGAGCGTCCTCGAAAACAATCGAGCGTGCTTGAAAACTATCGAGCATTCTCGAAATCTATCGAGCTTCCTCGAAAACAATTGAGCGTCCTCGAAATCGATTTAGCGTCCTCGAAAACTATCGAGCGTGCTCGAAAACTATCGAGCGTCCTCAAAATCTATCGAGCTTCCTCGAAAACAATTGAGCGTCCTCGAAATCGATCGAGCGTCCTCGAAAACTATCGAGCGTGCTCGAAAACAATCGAGCGTGCTCGAAAACAATCGAGTGTCCTCGAAATCGATCGAGCGTCCTCGAAAACTATCGAGCCTGCTCGAAAACAATCGAGCGTCCTCGAAATCGATCGAGCGTCCTCGAAAACAATTGAGCGTCCTCGAAATCGATCGAGCGTCCTCGAAAACTATCGAGCATCCTCGAAATCTATCGAGCTTCCTCGAAAACAATCGAGTGTCCTCGAAATCGATCGAGCGTCCTCGAAAACTATCGAGCCTGCTCGAAAACAATCGAGCGTCCTCGAAATCGATCGAGCGTCCTCGAAAACAATCGAGCGTCCTCGAAAACTATCGAGCGTCCTCGAAATCGATCGAGCTTCCTCGAAAACTATCGAGCGTCCTCGAAAACTATCGAGCTTCCTCGAAATCTATCGAGCTTCCTCGAAAACTATCGTGCATCCTCGAAAACAATTGAGCGTCCTCGAAATCGATCGAGCGTCCTCGAAAACTATCGAGCGTGCTCGAAAACTATCGAGCGTCCTCGAAAACAATCGAGCGTGCTCGAAAACTATCGAGCATCCTCGAAATCTATCGAGCTTCCTCGAAAACAATCGAGCGTCCTCGAAATCGATCGAGCGTCCTCGAAAACTATCGAGCCTGCTCGAAAACTATCGAGCGTCCTCGAAAACAATCGAGCGTCCTCGAAATCGATCGAGCGTCCTCGAAATCGATCGAGCGTGCTCGAAAACTATCGAGCATCCTCGAAATCTATCGAGCTTCCTCGAAAACAATTGAGCGTCCTCGAAATCGATCGAGCCTCCTCGAAAACTATCGAGCGTGCTCGAAAACTATCGAGCGTCCTCGAAAACAATCGAGCGTGCTCGAAAACTATCGAGCATTCTCGAAATCTATCGAGCTTCCTCGAAAACAATTGAGCGTCCTCGAAATCGATCGAGCGTCCTCGAAAACTATCGAGCGTGCTCGAAAACTATCGAGCGTCCTCGAAAACAATCGAGCGTGCTCGAAAACTATCGAGCATCCTCGAAAACAATCGAGCGTCCTCGAAATCGATCGAGCGTCCTCGAAATCGATCGAGCGTGCTCGAAAACTATCGAGCATCCTCGAAATCTATCGAGCTTCCTCGAAAACAATTGAGCGTCTTCGAAATCGATCGAGCCTTCTCGAAAACTATTGAGCGTGCTCGAAAACTATCGAGCGTCCTCGAAAACAATCGAGCGTGCTCGAAAACTATCGAGCATTCTCGAAATCTATCGAGCTTCCTCGAAAACAATTGAGCGTCCTCGAAATCGATCGAGCGTCCTCGAAAACTATCGAGCGTGCTCGAAAACTATCGAGCGTGCTCGAAAACTATCGAGCGTCCTCGAAAACAATCGAGCGTGCTCGAAAACTATCGAGCATCCTCGAAATCTATCGAGCTTCCTCGAAAACAATCGAGCGTCCTCGAAATCCATCGAGCGTCCTCGAAAACTATCGAGCGTGCTCGAAAACTATCGAGCGTCCTCGAAAACAATCGAGCGTGCTCGAAAACTATCGAGCATCCTCGAAATCTATCGAGCTTCCTCGAAAACAATTGAGCGTCCTCGAAAACTATCGAGCGTCCTCGAAATCTATCGAGCGTCCTCGAAAACTATCGTGCATCCTCGAAAACAATCGAGCGTCCTCGAAATCGATCGAGCGTCCTTGAAAACTATCGAGTATCCTCGAAAACTATCGAGCTTCCTCGAAAACAATTGAGCATCCTCGAAATCTATCGAGCGTCCTCGAAAACAATTGAGCATCCTCGAAATCTATCGAGCGTCCTCGAAAACTATCGAGCATCCTCGAAAACAATCGAGCGTCCTCGAAATCGATCGAGCGTCCTCGAAAACTGTCGAGCGTGCTCGAAAACTATCGAGCGTCCTCGAAAACTATCGAGAATCCTCAATTACTTTCGAGAGTTACTTGAAATCTATGGAGCGTCCTCGAAAACTATCAAACGTGTCGATCAGCTTCGAGAGTTACTTGAAACCTATCGAGTATACTCTATAATTTTCGAAAGATAGCGGGAGACGCCTTGGGAGTAGGTCCGGACAATCCCTGTTGAATAAAACTTAGATGCGTGTGCCGCCAAGCCGCGTCACACTCATGACTCACAGCATCTGCAGCAGCGGCGCGGGGTGGAGGGCATAGCGAGGTACGCGCCTCTGCAGGTTGTGAGTGCCAGGTGCTGCTGATCTATTGCAGGTCTACTAGCGACTGTGACTCACAGTCACAGCGTCTGTAGCAGCAGCGTCAAGTCTTCATTCTTGACAAATTTTTGATATTTTCGGAATTTTCGGTGCTCGACACAGGAGAAATTAACTTTTCGATGTCGCCAATACAACAAACATCGAAGCGCTTCGCAAACGTAGAACGTTTCGTATTTTGGCAGCTTTAACGTCTTCTAAATAAACTTGGAATACTGCACATCAATCATATAGCTTTGATTTTCACCATGTTTTGTGGCTAATAAACACTGAAACTGTTCCAAAAAACTTGACTTCATAGTCTGTAGGTCTTCATTCATAGCCATTCTGAATTCAAACGTGCGCAAAAACTCCGGAATAAGTTTTTGATGCGACATTATACCTTTCTTATTTGTTCTTCCAGCATCTCTCCAAGCGGATCTGGCTCAGGCTCATGCAGAGAAGGCTTCTCTGGAAGAAGAGCTGGCTAGCGCTCGCTTGGCGATTGAAAGACAGCAACGTCAGGCTAAACATGAGACCAATCGACTCAACTCTGAAGTAAGACATGTTTTTTTACATAGGGATGTATTAAATAAGCCTAAGTAGGGTGATAGAGAGTGTCAGATTTTTCCAATATAAAAAAAGTAATTTAAAAAAGGTTATAGTGAGTTCCATTTTACCAATCAACCCCTTTCGTTTGATATTTATTTATAGTTCTCAAAGTCAAAACATTTATTTCAATAGAAATCAAACCCTAGACTATTCGATGGGGTAATCAATATTATGCTCTTATCAGTAACAAATCCTATTATTTTTGTACTAGATCCAGTCTCTTCGTCAACGCCTGGACAGAGCTGATGCCGACTTGGTGCACTCACGTCGCGAGAACCTCCGTCTCTCTGAACAAATTTCTAATCTGGAAAAAGAGGTATTATTAAACACATTATGAAACACTAGACGTAGAATCAAGACACGTTAATCAAAAGTAAATTGCCAGCTCTTGAAGAAGACTGGAATTTGATTGTCTTGTCGCCACCGTGGTGCGTACGTGCGACAGGTCACGTAGTGTAGGCGACACACGATGACGTTGCTCACGTAACACTTGGACTGGACCCAACCGCAGCCAGGGACGCGTTCGTCGCCTCCTTGCTTGAATTTCCCTTGAAAACTTTAATACAAAAATGTTACTCATTTGATTCATTATTTAATTCGCAGCAAACAATGAAGAACTTGACCCCGATATCGCCGGAGAAGAAAAAGAAGGAGAAGGAACTGTCCACGATGCTGGAGTCGATGGAAAACAAACACGGTACGTCACACTACACACTTTGTAGTTCCTCTCAGTGTTGGGTCCACTACTCTCAGTCTTTGGGAAATAGCCTCATCCAATGGGTAAACTATTGATGTTTTGAAAGATTCTTCACACTAAAATAATCTGGAACAATACCTTCAAAACATTCATACTTTACCCTTTCATCGTCTGCGCTTGCATGTACATCTATAGTGCTATGAAAGGGCTTGTATTCTTTCTTAACGTTCAATAGTTTATTCATCAGATTGTTTACAAAAACCTCCCCATAGTAGTGTCTACAACTTAGAGTTAAAGCTAGAACATTTGGTTCCGCAGCTAAAACGGTGGCTGGGTTGGAGTCCATGATACAATCACAAAACAGTCTGATGGAGAAACTCACCGGCGAATGTCGTTTGCTCACAGACAAGCTCGACGACGCAAATCGTAGGCACAAGTACGAACTATTTACAATCTAATAGCATGATTATTATTGTCACTTTCCTTTGTAATCTCACTTGACATTGCTCGCTAAATTATCGTTACCCATTTAAAACTATTGTCTTAACGTCGTGCTGTGTTTTTATTGGTGGCAGGCAGTGCGCAGTGTCGCGGCCGTTCAGACGAACCAATCAGAACACAGCGCGACCGTTCGAGCTCGCGAGACCGAGAGACTCGCCGTTCCAAGCGCCGCTCCGCAAAAGAGTCCGTTTCGTCGAATAACTACGCGCCAATAGTCGTTGGCCCGTTAACGACCAATCAGGATCTCACAAACATCAAAGGAGAGAAGATATACAACTTGCCGCTTATGATACAACAGCCCTTTTTACGGGAGAAAAAGGAGCCGATTAAAGTTGACATAAGCGTAAAGTTGGTACCAAAGCCTAGAAAGAAAGAGAAGAAAAGGAGAGGAGCACAGGTTGAAGAAATTGTAGTGCAGCAAGCTGACGATAATAGAGGCATAAAGAATAGCTTTAGCATGGAAGTTTCTGATGGCGATATACAAGTACTGAATGAGACTGTAGAGATTATTGAAGATAACGCTAAAGCTTCCGAGGAAGTAGATAACAAAGACAGTCATAGTGTAGAAGAAAATGCCCAAGTACAAGAACAGAACGACATAAATACAGAGCAAATATTACCGACCGAAACGACGGATGATAATAATGTTGAGATGGCAGAAGTTGCACAAGATACAGCTGATGTACCACAAGAAAGTACAGTAAACCAAGATGAGACAACAGAGAAGGTAAACACAGAAAGTGAAGTAGAAAAAGAGACAGATGCTGTACAAGAAAAGGATGAACAGAAAGACGAGGAAGCTGCCTAAAATGTTGTTGGCGGGCATTTTCTGAACGACTGAGCAATGGAATTGATAGAGCAAGCAATGCGAATGATGTATATCGAGTAGTTTGAGTAGTACTTAGGTTAAGATAAATATAGGAACAACACTGGTAGCTAAGTAATTTTATTGTATGTACTAGTAGTTACCAAGTTTAGAATTTATTTCAAACTTAAAAAAGTAATGTGCATAAATTTCTGATCAGTGAAAAATGTGAGAAAAGGTTTTATTTCATTGAATTTTAAATATTATACCGTAACTATCATATTATATAAAATTAAGTCCTGCCTAGTTGGCAATCCTTGTTGGAGAGTATTCGATTGAATCGATCAAGAGAAAATTCTTAAAATAACTATTGTTGAATTTTAATTTGTTGTTATATTTTATAAATTCTTCATTTCTGTGATCAACTACCAGTGTTTAAATAATTATAATATTGACTTCATGTTGTAAACGTTTGTGCAATGTAGTGTGATATTTGTTAGCTTGTTGTAATATTTTTTTAATAGCTTTCTATTCAAATATATCGATGTTTAACTCTCGGTGTTGTGAGACAGTACAAAAATCAATTAATTTTCAATGGGTAACGATAGTTTAAGTGTGTGCAATAAATAGTTGTTTAAAATCATCCTTATGATTATTTATTTAGATAGTTATATCTACTGTAGATTTGAAATCACTGTCATCGTTAGAAACTAATTTGAGGATCATTATTTAGTGTATATCTTTAAAATTTAGCATAGATTTGATTTCTTTATTAATTTCAATTTCAATTATTTGCTCATCATATTCACACACATATTTCCATTTCAGAGCAGAGAGAACACAATTGCTTTGCAGGAACGTTGAATTAATGAGAAAGCTTAGAAATTTATGGACTTCTCATAAAAAATATTGCACCACCATTACACCTCTGAGAAGTTACACCCCACTCAGTGGATATCCACACAGTCGATCATCTTATGACTTAGACCGCACGTATTACACATCGACGCCTAACTATAGATCTAGATTTAGGAGGGCTGATAGTCTAAGTGAGTCCTCAAGGGATGACATAGGTGGTCTAACAAGAAACCTAAGTGATCTATCAATTGATAAGATTGATGATTCTGATGATGACCCTGTGAAGGCAAGTGATGATGATGGTAACACATTTGGGAGCAAAGATTCGGAGCCAAAACAGTTTTTTTCGTTTTATCGAACACTGTATAAATTAAAAAAAATATTCCTATTTACAACAAAATGCTCTCATTTTAAAGATAAATAAATTACCTTTTATACATCATACGTTACTAATTAATGAAACACTTGTATCAGAAAATATTGATCAAGAAATGAAAAAGAAAAAAACGCTAGTGGCTTCGTTTCTTTGGTCCCAAGTTATGTAACTGATGTTGTCGTAGATAAAAGCAAGCATGTGCATGATGACGTAAATGACGTTGTAGTTTTAGTTTTGGAGCTTAGTGCAACAGTAGAAAATTAGTTAAATGATATTTCCCAAAATAAGTCACATCTTTTTAAATTATCCAACCTATTAGAACATCTCCTATGTATTGTGTCAACTACTAAATTGGTTATTTAGCTATATAATTGATTTTATTGAGATCGGGTTCGATTCCTGTAACTAATATTTAGAAACTTCGTCAACATAAAATAATTTTCAATTATCATAAAAATGTTCTAAAGCCCAAGATCTTCAGTTTTACCATCAGTCAAAACAAGAGAATCTCTTTTAATAATGAAATAAAGTTTAATATCCCTTGGTGAAGTATTATTATAGTCTATCTGGTATTCGTGTTTATCTCGCATGTGTTTGCTACGTGGCTCACTTTGTTTGTTTGTGTGTGTTCACGTGTGGCGTGCAGGCAAGAACTGGCCACTCTGCAGCGTCAAGTAAACGGCCTCTCACGTTCGATGCAGTCCCCACACAACACGCCTAGCAATTTTCAAGGTATGTATCGAATTAACGAAACAAAGAAGTGGTAACAAGACCTCTCAATTTTTGCTGTGTTTTTCTAATACTCGGATAAGATATCTTTATTTATAAGGCCTTAAACTGCATATTCAGTAGAGTATGCTAAATGCTAAATGTGGCGAGTTGTGGTCAAATCAGTTATGCTCCAAAAATTTATCTGAAGAGGTGAATCGTTAACAAATCTTTCATATCAAATCTCATAGAGATGATAAACGTGTCAACATGAAACAAATCTTTATGAAATATTAACGATATATGACTTGACTTTCCTTACAGCACATCCCCCGCACCAGACCACAACCAACAGAAATATACCACATCCCCCGTCCGACAGCGGACGAGACTATTCCGGAACTGAGTCCCCCGGACACACCACACACGGACCGGACGAACGAATCACAACAGTCGACCGAGACGATCCCTACCAAACTACAGGAATAGATGAAACTGCTTATCAACAAGAAGAACACCACGACCAACAAATAGAAGAAAATGTAGTAGACATTAAACCAAAAGAAACAGAATATCAAGAACCTGAACATTTTGAAGAGGAAGAAATGCCTAAAGTACAGACAGAAACGAAAGAAGAAATAAAAGAAGAACCAGAGAAACCGATGGAAGTAGAACACACGGAGGCATATGAAACACAACAGTATGAGTATGATCAGAATTACGAACAAACACCGGCTACGGCCGATGCTCAATACGAGAATCAGTTTGAGAATTACGAGCAACAACCTTACGCTGACCAGCAATATGAAAACTATGAACAATATCCTCAAGAAGCAGTTGATCCTAACGCGCAGTATCATCAGGAATATGAAAATTACCCAACAGATGGGAACTACACAGACCAAAATTATGACACAACTCAGTATGCTGAGGGATTGACAGAAGCTGCACACGATGGAAGCAAAATAGTACAGGACCAAAGTTATGATGCTCAGTACGCCCAGGAATATCAAGCTGATCAGAATGCAAAGATACAAAATGAAAAAGTGCCTGAAAGTATAAAGTCACAAGAGAAACCATCTAGTCAAAGTTAGCAATTTTATTAGATTTAAGTTAGTATTCGTTCGTGCAATATTATGTTATTGGAAGGCTTGTTTTACGTTATGTATTCGTGCTAATTTAATTATTGTAGATAAAGCTTTCGATGTTAGTCATGTTATAGTTGATTAGAAAATATTAAAAAATATGGAAATAACTACAATTGAAATTATAGAACACTTGCAGATGTATGAAGGAAATTTTGAGGTGACTAGCAAGCTTGGGGGTATATTTATAGAGAATTTAATTAATGTTGTCTTATACAGTTGCATATGGATTATATTTTACATGATCCAACTTTACTTAAGTCCGGATTCTCATTAATTTATGTTCAAAATTACCTCCAAGTGACGTTCGTTGCTAAAAAATATCCAAACAGTTACCAATCTACATAGAAAGAAGCAATTTTAATAAAATAATTAAATTATTTTTGCTCAATATAATTTTTATAGACCGAACGGTGTTTTATTCAATGTTTTATTCAAATATTCTATCCTATTCTCAGATTTACTGTCAACGCTACCCGGCACCCTACTATCGTTTTATTATTTATTTCTCCTATATTATGTATATTGTATCAATTTCATGGTAATTTGAGCATGTCTGAATTGAATGTTATTACCTATCAGAAATAGGTAGCAAGGCGGGTCGGTCGTAGTCTATATCGAATTTTATAATGGTCCATTATGTAGAAATGAAATCAAGCATCAATGAACAAAATATTACACATGAATATATTCGATTGAAAGATTTGTATAATGTGATGTCGTGCAAAATGTTGTCAAATTAAATCTCGACGAACTAAGTGCTCAAGTTGATATCTACTTGATTTTCTAATTAATATTTACTACAATCCAAACAACAAACAGAATCATTTCTACTTTAAAATTCATTTAAATACCTAGCAGAGAAAACAATTTATTATCAACACCTTTGTGCAAATATCAATTTTGAATTTTATCACAAAACATTAATTAATGTTTTGTTCGAAATTTCTTACGGTGGCAACATCGCGCTCAATCGGCTGCGTGCGAGCACGATGAAAAATATCAACACATGTATTTTATTTATAATAATTGGTAGTTTCAGTCACATAATAGGGGTAAGTCAATATATTATTTTTAACAATCATCAGATATTTTGACGCAACTTTTGACTCATGAAAAGGGACGAGGCACCATTTTATAATCACATAACTTTACCCCTAGCACCGTATTGAAGTTTAAAAGACATAGTGCCTTTCTATTACTGTTTCGTCTTAAAGTGCGAATGTAATATACAACCATATTGTTACATTGATTCACGTGACCAACTTTTCATGCTAAACATAGTTACAATTTACAAAACCACCGATAAAGTACCAAAAACAAATAGAATTTATGTATGAACGGCAACGCTGTGAATTAATAATATTGCTAAATGCTTCACAGACTCATGCGAAAAACAAAACGGACCTTACAGAAGAATATTTAGAACAAGAAGCTCAAAGAGATCTAGAGAAATTGTTAGTTAAAATAAATTCCCGTCGAAATGACTCAGATGTTAATGATGATCACGACGATGATAATAAAACTACACGAAGAGAAATTGACAAAGAAATTGATGAAAATGTGCAACTTATGAAAACCCGCAGGATCATTCCTGGTCAGTCTGCAGCTAATGCTGAGGACCAGGATCGCTTTTACAAAATAATGCATAAATTAGCTTCATCTCGAGGCAATACGAAATTAAGTTTGAAAAATGATGATAAATCTCTTGGCGATTCATTTCGTAAAAGTTTTGCAAATATAAAACCTGAGATACATCCTGCAGAAAGTTTATCTGATGGAAGAGATGATCAACAGGAAACTTTATTAGAAGTTGATAACGTTTACAATTTAGGATATGCACACAATGAAAACGAATATAATAATGTCATGAGGAGTTCTAAAAATGGAAATACATTCCAAAATCATGATCCTTTAAGAACTAGATCTTACCTACCTCTATCAGCAAATTTGGAAAAATTTAATGAATTGTTGCACCGATTCAACAAAAATGGTCAGAAACATGTGAGAACTAAACCAGGAAAACAAGAATCCGGTACTGATGATATTCACATACCCTATTTACGTAGCAATCCTTTAATGAACAAGGTAGAAAAACAAATTTTGGATGCAATAAATAATGACTTTAATGAAAAAAAACGCAAAAGAACTAAGGTTACAGTTCTGCGAACGGATGTAAGTGATGAAACTATGTATGCAGATATTAACGACCAAATTGATGAATTCGTAAATCATTTTAATGATGATAAAAACGACAGAAATGTCCAGCGAACTGACACTTATAGAAAAAATCAAGTAAGTAGAAATTTCATTCTTAACATGTGATGATGAAAGGTTTTAGATCTGATCCACGGGGAATTCAAACGATTGAGATCAGTATTTTGACCCTGAAAAACCTGTGTAAAGTCCTTACTGGTTTCTTATTATCTAGTTTTGCTTTTATAGTCTTTTGGTTGTACGGATTTACAGTTCATTCGATCACAGGTGAGGGTCATGTGGGAGAATGAAAAATAAAAAAGAATCAATATTTTTGCCCGACTACGGCGACGCCAAACCGAGGATTATGATTTTTGGTTATAACATCGGCACAGTTGTTTTGTCAATTTAAATCGTTTTTGATACCTTGCTAAAACAAAGTGGGTGTCATGTTCATTAAAAAAAATCTGGAAGAAATCAAGATATTGGACCCAGCAAACTCGTTATGTTTTTGTCAGCATTAATGACACCAATATGTTTTAAAACAAAGAAACAGTATTAATCATGTAGATATTATGTAATTCACCAAATCAATTAATATTTCCTCAGGATGCACAGCTTGACGATGGAAAGCGAACGAGAAGAGCCGCACGAACACAAGCAGGGTACACACAAGACCCTGACACTTGCAAAACTTACAATGAAAACCTCGTAAAACTCTGGTCAAATCTGTCAAAATACCTTAATGTCACTGAACAACCCGACGAACTTGCCCTGCATAACATAGCAATGATGGTACAAGCATACCTAGAACATCACACACAACAATCACCAGAAACACATAAATCAAAATACGAAGGACCTAGAGACAAAGTAACCGAAATTATACTTAGAATTAGGAAAACGCTCGAAGACTCTCAAGCCAGTGAGGCTAAAATTGTTAAAATAATAAAAAAGTACGCAAAACCGTTTTATGGAGACATTGAAAATGAAGATTGTCAACTGGTCAATGAAGAATATTTGCAAATTTCAGTTGGTTTGTTATTTAAAATTTATCAGGACAATCTCGAATGTTCCGGCGACGACGAGAGTATAGCAATGAATAAAAGATTGATTTTACGCAATACAAAGAATAAATCCCTGAAACGAGCCAAAAGTGGGCTCTTACTAATATCTGACGATGACTATTTTAATCCAGACAAGGATATATACATTGATAGTGAGGTCTTTAAAGATTTTCAAAAGGAAAAAATACCAAGAAAGAGATCTAGTCAAAACAGACGAGTGTACCGACGAAACAGAAACCCAAAGCGTCAAGACCCAGCACGGAGAAGTGGGATTGAAAACAAAAAAATTAAAACTCGTAAATCATTTAACGGTAAATCATCTAGATCAAGATCTAGAAATAACAATCTCAGATCTGATGGAACGAAAAGTAGATGTGAAAAAATTGCGATTCGCAAACTGACAAGCTCATTGCGACCTGTGATAGAAAGGTTTACGTCGCTACAAGAATGTCAAATTGACAACACGTTGAGATCAGAATATCAACATTCGAATTTGCGTGCCCCGCTCTACTTGTACGCTTCTAAATATTTATCGGATGACAATGACAATGAAGAAAATTACTTCCTTAGGAAACCCATTGATAAATCGACTAGAAAAAATACAGAACGTAGTAGAGCAATCGAGTCATCTAAAACAGAAGAAAGACAGAAATCTCCACAAGAACTTGTAAAAGAGGATTTTGTACGTGATGATGGCGACACTTGGATTAGGAAACAATCCAACTCAAATCTAAAGCTCAGTGACACAGAAGATCGGACATCGGAGACTACTTCTGGTAATCTTGACACAAACAATGATCTCCAGTCGGTAAACTTTTACGATGATTACGACGCTTTATTGAAACCACCACCATTACACACCAACAGTCCACTCAGTTCTATAATCGACATAAAGAAAATTATCGATAGGGTAAACAATAAAACTTCACACACTAAAGACAAAGAAAAGAAAGATGTTTACGTTAGACAAAGAAAACTTGTAACTACTACTTTCAAACCTTTGCGAAATAACGAAGGTAATGATGGAATTGATTATGACTATTATAATGACAACGTAAATCATAGTACTGAAAGTGTTGAAGAACCGTTTCAAGATTATACCAGACTCAGAACTTCTGATAAAGTGCTCCAAGAAAAAAAGAATACACATACATATGAAAGTCTTTCAGAGTTCATTAAAAAGGCTCGCGACATTTCATTGCAAACACCAGAAGTTACCATGCCTTTTGCGTTAGATAATAATAAAGGGTATGTAGAACTCACTTATCTAGTAAAATATCCAAAAATTCTTATTTACCGCCCACAGTTTCTATTGAAAAACGTAATACCATATGATGCCTATGTTAAAACAGCTAATAGTATCAATATGAGTAATAACGACGTACGCTTGATGAAAATTGTTAGACATTTGCCCGACAAATCTGCTAAAGTACTATTCGAAACTGAAGATTATGAGGAGCCGTTAGAGATTCGTAACGTTAATGAAAATTTGAATAACAGGAGGAGTGTTTGGACTAGAAATGATATATTAAAGAACAACAACCGTCCATCTCCTTCTATTTTCAATGATATAGGTTCAATTATCGACAAACTTCGTAATCGTACTGTACAGCATGAGTTAATTAAGAATTATGAAAATGATGAATTATTCTCATCTGACACTCAGACAGGGACTATATTTACGACTCCTAAACCAAATGTACAACATGACACATCACCTTCAGTTTGCAAATTAATAACAACTAAAACTGACTTAAACGACAGTGATATTCTATCGGTAGAGTCTATAAACACCAGGTTTTCGGAGACAGATTCAGAATCATCACAAGACTTTTCAGGTGATCCATTCTATCTTCCAACATTAGCAAACTTTTATAGAGCACACACATCTACTACTAAACCTAAACATGATTCAGCTTCATTCATTGCCAAGAATGTTTGGAATAATTTGAGGAAAATAATAAAAAGTGAAGTGCAGGTAAAGTCATTTTCTAACAAGTAAATGGTAATGGCAATAGAAATCTACATGTTAACAGGTTCACCACCATCAACAGGCAGTGACAGTCCAGTGCTGAACTATGGACTTCCTACATGAGAGAGTGTGCAATAATATCCTCGCTCAGTTTGATTCGAGATTGCCGTATAACAGGTTCAGGTTTAACAAAGAGCGCTGCTGCCTGATCTCTGTCCAATGTGCTATGACTGTAGTCTTCCAAGCCGCCACTTGGATTTACAGTTAGGTCACTTTAATTTAAAGAATGTAGGTGTCCATCCCTCCGTGGCTGAATAAGACTGGTATTAATATTTATTAGTAAAACGGGTATCATATTAATTGCCGATATTTATAAGTGGAGACTACGTACTAGCAAGCGCAGTGAAGGACGCCCACAACGATAAATGGTTAGGGAAGGCCGCTTGATGCAGGTTGCGTCCAGCCAGTCGATCTGGAAGTCACTGGTGAGGCCTACATTCAGAGCCTGTCTTCTGGCCAATGATAATTATTCCCTGATTACTTTTATTGTTTTCTTTTCTAGAAAATTGTGGGAAATACATCAACTGTTAGTAGCAACATTGACGAATTGATGGATTGATGTTCGAGTGGTACCTAGCCTCTCCACAACGCCACCACTCGTCACTCCAATAAAACATCGAAACTGGTACAGAGGTAATAGTAAAGTGAATTAAGAACGTGAAGATGTATGGATGGTTAAAAAGATCAAATAAATAGACTCCGTGTTGTCATTAAGTCATTATGTCCTTTACCTATTCCTAAACCTAAAGGAGAGTAAGTATCTATCTATAATCACTTTATTTTACCTAAGATGATTAAGAATCGTTACCAAAGAAGTTGGGCCGTACCTAAGCTAATTTATTGCTTCTACTAAGAGTCAAGCTTCGAGTGGCACGAATGGGCAGACTCGACCGGAATGATATTATGTCCTTACAGAAAAACGACGTGAAACAACGCTTGCGTTGTTTGCTTGCGTGAAGAAAGTAAAGTCCAATCCCTAAGACACTCGTAACACACTCGTAAATTTGTTATCCTTTGGTATACATAACGGGTGTCCATACGTAGCGCCGATTGCTTGCCATCAGGGGACAGTAGAGCAAAAGTGTATAACACTGATTGCATGATTGCTGATTTTAACAAGATTGGTAATCTATTTTTTTCTATCTTATTTTTTTTTTTCTAATTCACTTCGTTGCGGAAACTAACCAAGACAGTTATTCATGTCCCTGGGACGTGCCGGACTTCAGTGTTCCGGTGTTTTCTTGGTTGTATCTAGTGTAGATACTGGCTTAGACAAGTTGTAGCGGTTTTAAGAGGATGTGGCGGGTTTGTCCCTTAAAAAAAAGTTTGGTAATCTGTTGGTATAGAACGAAGTGCGTGAGGTTGCCATCTGGCGCATAATATGTAAAACTTTTCTATTAGATCAATGTCCACACAATACTTGTACCGGCTTCACCGTTGATTCTTATTTTGATTATTTAAATATAGTAATATTCGTGCAATACGGCCTTTTTATTCATAACTCTTCAGGTTATGGGCCCAGTGAGTGAAAAACAATCAATTTTGTGATCAATAAACTTGATTTGCAGTGATTTAAATACGAACTGATACGACGTAATTAAAGTAATAAACGCGCCGATACCGTGTGTGGCGCGTTAGCGTAACGCGGACTTAGAAATTACGTTTCCTTTGTTATGAACTAATCAGTGAATATTGACTAACGTGTTTTTTGTTTACGTTTTAAAGTTGAAGAAACTTTATTAACTGTGCAACATGACTGCAACTATTAAAATAGATCAACTTACGGGTGATAATTATGACACATGGAAGATACATATGCGAGCTATTCTGAAGAAGAATGATTTATGGGAATATGTATCAGGAACATTACCGAAACCACCGCTCGGCAACCCCAAGTATGCAGAATGGATTAAAATGGACGGCAAAGCGGAGTCCGATATTTTGTTGGCGGTCAGTTCAAGTGAATTAAGTGCGTTGGATGGTTTAGAAAGTTCAAAAGCTATATGGGATAAGTTGAGATCCATGTATCAGTCAAGCGGGCCGGCTAGAAAAGCATCATTGTTGAAGAAACTGGTATTGACACGAATGCAAGAAGATGACGACTTGAAAAAGCACATTGCAGATTTTTTTGATGCCGTCAAGAAGCTCAAAGAAATTGGATTGATAGTTATAGACGAACTCCTGGCCATATTATTATTATACAGTTTACCAGATTCGTTTGCTATGTTTCGAACAGCAATAGAATCACGCGATGATTTACCCCCGTGTGAAATATTAAAAGTGAAGATCATCGAGGATTATGAAGGTCGTAAATCCAAAACAACGGTTGACCAGGGGGCAATGTTCGTCAAACGTATCAACAAAAATACTAATTTGAAGAAGATTAATGAGAATCATTTACGTAAAAATAATGTCGAGTGTTATCGTTGTGGTCGGCGTGGACATATAGCGAGAGAGTGCAAAGCCAAATTTCCCGGTAAACATAAGCAGAGTGCCCAACAATTGGATAGTGGTTGTGATGAGAGAAAGACGACCATGTTATTGAGTACCACTGAAGAGGTGATGCTTGGTGAGCAGACAAATCCTATCTGGTGCATTGACAGTGGATGCACGGGTCATATGTGTAATGAGAAGGTTATGATCAAGGATTTTACACAGTTGAACTCTGAGCTTAACTTAGCGAACAGTAAGAAAACGCAAATCAGCGGAACTGGTAAAGTAAACATTACAGTAGATACGGGCAGTGAAGAACGCCAAATTGAATTACAAAAGGTATTCTACGTATCAGACCTACGAACCAAACATATTGATGTGAGGCATCACTTTATTCGTAATATGTACGAACAAGGTGTAATTAATCTCAAATATTTACCTACTGATCGAATGCCTGCAGATGTTTTGACCAAGGGTTTGAATGGGACAAAGCATCATGAATGTCTACGTAATTTAGGTATGATGGATGAATGTATGTAAAGGCTGGAGATTAAATTTACTCACGACTTCGAGGGGAGGTGTTGGTATAGAACGAAGTGCGTGAGGTTGCCATCTGGCGCATAATATGTAAAACTTTTCTATTAGATCAATGTCCACACAATACTTGTACCGGCTTCACCGTTGATTCTTATTTTGATTATTTAAATATAGTAATATTCGTGCAATACGGCCTTTTTATTCATAACTCTTCATAATCTAATAGGTTTTTCAAAGGTCGACAAGATGCATGATTTGCCCCAAGTGTTTCAAGCGTACATAGGCCACGGAAACCGCTTACCATCAGGTGGGACGTGTGGGCCGTGTGCTATTTTTTGCCACCGTCGCGGTATAAAAATATCTATAAGTAATTAAATTATAATAAAAAATATAATTATAAAATAAAAAAAATTAACTTATTAACCTTGACTTATGTTAACTCTTTACGGGGGCCTATAATCCCCGTAAAGTCGGACAACTTTCGACTATTTCCTATTTATAAAATTAAATGTAGCAGAATAAGATCGTTTAATAAAATGACGATGGTATTTTGATAAAATAGCCTAGTGGCTAAGGCGTACGTGACATTTTTAGCAAAAATGAACAATCAACAAACATTCCAGGAATCTCCACGTATGGGTTTAACGAATTGAATGCACGGATTAAGGAGACAATGGAACATGCATTGTCTCTCGTTTGGATCCGTGTTTAGCCACACAAAAGGTTAAAATACTTAGTTATAACAATGTCACTGGTACTATGAAAATTGCTCATGTTTAACAATAGATAAAGAAAACAGTACAAATGGACTTATTGGGACATCTTCACCTATGTCCTGTCTACTGACCACCAGTAACAGTTGCTTATTCATTCATATCTGTTTTTAATTAAAATCTTCGCCCCACAGGATAGGGTTAGGATCAGATTAGGATTTTCTCCTGTGCCGTGGTTGCGTTTACAAACATACAATCATATCACATATACAATGCAATGACTGGTTTCAAAGAATTACCATTTTTAAGGGGGAAAATCATCGAATAACTGCTTCCGCCTGGGTGAGGCGAGAGGGAGTGTCAAACTCTTACTGACTAAAAACCACTCCGTTCCTTCTCCTGCACGTCGAGCCGGAGCCCCGGTAACCCGTTAGGTTCTCTGCGACTGCCAGGATAGGATTAGGATCAGATTAGGATTTTCGTCTGTGCCGTGGTTGCGTTTACAAACATACAATCATATCACATACCTGCACAATGTACTTAATGAATGGTTTCAAAGAATTACCATTGAAATATTATTTTGTTAGATATGTATTTGTGCGGTACCTACTTATAGATTCTATAGATTTCCAAGAATATTTTGAAAACTATTTAAACTGCCAAACACCAAGCGGTCACCGGTGACCGCAACCTATTGTTCTTTAATTGTGTCTATAATGACGTCGTTAATTAACAGTGTAACTAGTAGTATTGTATAATCTTATGTCTGATCCGTTCCCACGCTAATTAAGTAATTACATACTATTAGGATTATAAAACAAGTTTCGTATCTTACCTAAGTAATAGTTTTCTTTAACTACATTAAACTTCTGTATTAAATTCACCAAAGGAAGTGGAAATTATAGTCTTTTCTTCTTCTCTAATACTATCCTCTGATTTATAATTCGTTGCGGGATCCAAGACAGTTATTCAAATACCTGCGACGCGCTGGACTTCAGTGCTCCGGTGTTTTCATGGTTGTATCTTTCGCCTGCCATTTCGGGTTACCTTATCTTTGCTTGAAGTAGTTTCCGAACTGAAACCTTTGACCAAATCGTTAATAACTCAATTTTTACAACGTTTACCAACCCATGTAGCCAGGCATGCAGCCCAACGAAGACTATTCATGTCTCTAGGACGCGCCGTACTTCAGTATTTTGGTGTTTTTATGGTTGTATCTACTGTAAATCCTGGCTTACAGAAGTTGCAGCGCTTTTGGGAGGTAGCAGCGGGCTTGTCCCATTAAAAAAGACCATGTTGATAAATCTTAGGATTTACTAGGAAACCTTTGAAAAGATTTTTTAATCCAATTTAAAAGATTTAGTTCGAGCTATTACAGCAGTAAATATACCAAAACCTGCTCCTAAATGTAACATACGCTTTTTTTAAAACCACATCAAAATCGGTTCCGCCCATCGTGAGATAATAACAAATAAACATACAAACATAAATACAGATCAAACTTAGAACCTTCTATTTTGAAGTCAGTAAAATTATACTGAAAACTTCAATACAATCCATTGACATCCAAATATATATAATAATTTATCATTATCTAAAAGCTACAACTGAATATGTAACTATTATACATAATTTTCGGGTCGAAAACAAAATTAAGAACATAGGTCTACTTAGTCCTATGTCGCAGTGTGACTTGCTCTCTAAAATATTATTTATGTAGTTCAATACAATCCTTTGACATCCAAATATATATAATAATTTATCATTATCTAATTAAAAGCTACAACTGAATATGTAACTATTATACATAATTTTAAAATGTGCACAATATTTTTCGCGTTATCGGTTCGCTTTGGCTAGTGTGTACGTGCAACTTTGCATGACGTCGTTGTTGTTGTTGTCTCTTTCTATCGCACTCGCTAGTAATGCGCTCGAGGCGAGTTGAGTAGTCGAGTTATTCGGTCAGGTCAGTGTGCCCGAAGTCGTCAACGGTGACGGCATAACACAAGCGGTCGTCGTATCGTGAGCATCTCCAAAGTCTTAATCTCCAAAAAAATACCATAAAAGCCCACAAGCACAGTATTTACTTTTGCTGCTCTGGTACTGCTTTCCTTTCTTTTCCTTTATAATTTGCAAAGAGTGTAACGTGTATGGAAAATAATTTGTGACAAATTAAGTGTTCGGTGTCAGTGCAGTGAGTCAAATATAACTTTGGCTAGTGTGTACGTGCAACTTTGCATGACGTTGATGTTGTTGTCTCTTTCTATCGCACTCACTAGTAATGCGCTCGAAGCGAGTTGAGTAGTCGAGTTATTCGGTCAGTGACTCAGTGTGCCCGAAGTCGTCAACGGTGACGGTGCTTGATTTGTCTCTCGTTCGTTCGTCTTCGTTGTACATGTACAATTTATAATCTGTGCCCTGTGGCGTATTTGAATGTTTTGTTTGTTATCAAACATTTTGCTCCGAAAAGTGGATAAAATAAAAAGTCCAATAAAGTTGAACTGTGCAAGTAAAAATAGTACACAGTTAAACGAATAATTGTAATATTATTGAAGTTTACACTGGCTATTAGTGTTTACCATTTTGAGGTTATAATCTTAGCTTTGTGAATCAAGCTAAAAGTATTATATAAAAATGGTTTGTGAGAAATGTGAGAAGAAATTGGGCCGTGTGATCACACCGGACCCTTGGAAGTCTGGAGCCAGGAACACCGTGGAATCCGGAGGAAGAAAAGTCGGTGAAAATAAAGCCCTAACTGCAAAGAAAGGGCGATTCAATCCTTATACTAGCAAATTTCAAGAATGCAGGCAAGTTTTTATCCTATTCTTTTTATTATAATGCCCTTTTTTCTTTCTCCTATAAAATTATACCGACAAACTCTCCACGAATTGTATAAAATACTCAATTTATAGGGACAGGTCAATATGGTATTGTATTTTTATTTTTAACAATAGATAAGGCTTCTTTGCGTGTGTTATTAAATGTTTTAAGTAGTGAAATGTATTAAATATTTGTTAGTCATAATATTTTATGTATTTCACACTTCTAAACTGTTAAATTTTAGATAGTTAAATATGAAATCCTTAGCCACTTATTAGACCTTAAACTTCTAGTTGTTCAACATTCTTATAGAATTGCTTGAGAGCAGTGAAAAACATTATTTTTGTACTTATCTATGTTCTAATTTTTTTTCTATTTATGATAGTGACAACGTACACTTACAGGCCAAGATCAATGTGAAACATTTGTTAACTAGAAACTTACCAAAAATATTTAACCACAATCGTTTAATCCAATTTCATCCACTTTCAATTCTTCTTTCAACCTCTCAACTCAACCAAAATTCTCACCAAATGAATCAAAACAATCACAATTTTGTAACTGCTAGAAACAGACTTGTCATACTAACAGATAATGTTTCTTTTTACAGGATCTGCAGAACGAAAGTACACCAAGTTGGCTCACATTACTGCCAAGCCTGCGCCTACAAGAAAGGAATATGTGCTATGTGCGGCAAAAAAATATTAGACACCAAAAACTATAGACAAAGTTCTACATAGAATCTTTTTTTAGTTAAAATAGTTTTCTAATAAAGATAGAATGTGGAGATTGTAAATGTTTTTTTTTTTATTTGATAATCTATGTACAATGTCCGGTGGGTCAATCTGATATTACTTTTTTATTGTAGTTTTGTCTTTACTTCAAAAGTATAAAGTTGAAAACTTTAACAAAAATGTTTGTACTTGGCACTACAGTACTTGTGAATTCATATTACTCATTTATTGTATGTATTAATTACCTGTGAATTTTGATGTACCAATCAAATAGTGAACTGTCAGTTGAAAGGTTTGTCCTTTACAGTAAAGGGCTATACCTAATAAGTAATTAAAATGATTTATTTGAGAATTTATAATTTAATGTATGAGCAAATGTATTTTAGGGACTTATAGCTATGTATTAAATGTAAAAGATTATTGTATCATAATTGATATTAACTGTCTGTAAACTAACTATGTATTTGGAAAAAAATAATGTTTACAGTTTAGTTGAAAATAAATTACGTTTGATATTAAATTGGTATTAAAGTCCAATGTAGTTTCTTAATTTGTTAATTTCATAGTTGATAAGATTTTGTAAAATATTGTAAATATCTAAATCCTAAAGATTTAACCAGATTATTAAACATTGAATAAAATGTTTCTGTAATTGTTATATTTCTTGTACATAATAATGTATGTATGTTATTTTTAAGGTATTAGTTTTAATAAACTTGAAAAAATTAAATCTTTGTATTTCATTTATATTATGTAGTTACGCTTCGTTACAATTTTTACTTTAACCTCTTGTCCTCTTATATGAAACACAATAGAGAACACATTGTGCCTCGCCCCTCGCGTATATCTACGTCCGCGCGTATACCAGGGGTTAAGTCTTCATATATATCTTACTTTTCATTGCTCGAAGGGAATCTTTTTTTTAGACATCAATCAGTGGCACATAGACATCTGGTAAGAGTAAATTTTTAATTAAAAGTGACCTCTACAATTTCGCCAATTATATTTATCTTGGAAGTCAATAAAGCATTTTTATATAAAAAAGGTGAAAGGGCGGTAAAAGAGCAAATATCACCTGATGACAGGGTGTCATCATCCCTATTGAGAACAGCAATTTCTCACGTTTAACAATAGAGAAGAAACAAAAGATAATTTTAGCACTAATTAGGAACTTGGGTCATAGTTGTCACCCCTATCTACTGGCATACTGTCCTTTGTTCGACTGCTTATCAGTAATTCACGACAATCCTATTTTTCTCAGAATTTCTTGCTATTGTTCTATTTTCTTTTCAATAGATAACTGTAAGCTGTAATATTTTGACCTTAATAGGTACCCGCATAAACAGAGCGGTTCCCATAAAACATATTTAACTAAGTAGTACCTATACGCTCGCGGCTTTTATCGCGGCTATTAGGATTATAAAACAAGTTTTTACCTAAATAATAGTTTTCGATAAACTATTTATTTATTTATTTATTTGGACATCCAGTTGTTGCTACATTTTTATCATTAACTTAAAACTACATTTAACTTCTGGATTAAATTCACCAAAGGAAGTGGAAATTATAGTTTTTTCTTCTTCTCTAATACTATCCTCTGATTTATTTCGTTGCGGGATCCAAGACAGTTATTCAAATCCTGTGACGCGCTGGACTTCAGTGCTCCGGTGTTTTCATGGTTGTATCTTTCGCCTGCCATTTCGGGTTACCTTATCTTTGCTTGAAGTAGTTTCCGAACTGAAACCTATGACCAAATCGATAGTAACTCAATTATTTCAACGTTTACCAAACCTTGTAGCCAGGCATGCAGCCCAACCAACACTATTCATGTCACTAGGCCGCGTCGTACTTTAGTGTTCTGGTGTTTTATGGGTGTATCTACTGTAGATCTTAACTTAGGCTTACAGGAGTTGCAGCGGTTTTGGGGGGTAGCAGCGGGCTTGTCCCATTAAAAAAGACCATGTTGATAAATCTTAGGATTTACTAGGAAATCTTTGAAAAGATTTTTTAATCCAATTTAACAGATTTAGTTCGAGCTATTACAGCAGTAAATATACCAAAACCTGTTCCTAAATGTAAAAAACACTTTTTTGAAAACCACATCAAAATCGGTTCCGCCCATCGTGAGATAATAACAAATAAACATACAAACATAAATACAGATCAAACTTAGAACCTTCTATTTTGAAGTCAGTAAAATTATACTGAAAACTTCAATACAATCCATTGACATCCAAATATATATAATAATTTATCATTATCTAAAAGCTACAACTGAATATGTAACTATTATACATAATTTTCGGGTCGAAAACAAAATTAAGAACATAGGTCTACTTAGTCCTATGTCGCAGTGTGACTTGCTCTCTAAAATATTATTTATGTAGTTCAATACAATCCTTTGACATCCAAATATATATAATAATTTATCATTATCTAATTAAAAGCTACAACTGAATATGTAACTATTATACATAATTTTAAAATGTGCACAATATTTTTCGCGTTATCGGTTCGCTTTGGCTAGTGTGTACGTGCAACTTTGCATGACGTCGTTGTTGTTGTTGTCTCTTTCTATCGCACTCACTAGTAATGCGCTCGAGGCGAGTTGAGTAGTCGAGTTATTCGGTCAGGTCAGTGTGCCCGAAGTCGTCAACGGTGACGGCATAACACAAGCGGTCGTCGTATCGTGAGCATCTCCAAAGTCTTAATCTCCAAAAAAATACCATAAAAGCCCACAAGCACAGTATTTACTTTTGCTGCTCTGGTACTGCTTTCCTTTCTTTTCCTTTATAATTTGCAAAGAGTGTAACGTGTATGGAAAATAATTTGTGACAAATTAAGTGTTCGGTGTCAGTGCAGTGAGTCAAATATAACTTTACTATTAATCAGTAATTCTTATAGTTTTTCGAACTTAAACTTAGGTTATTCCTATATATTGAAAAATGACGACTGCAGCAAGACCAACATTTGATCCAGCACGGGGAGGAACCGGACGAGGTGAAAAAGATCTTAGTGCAATATCTCGTCAATATTCTAGTAGAGATCTTCCAGGCCACACTAAACTAAAATACAGGTACGTAACAGGAATATAATTTACCTTATTAGATGTGTTGTTCATAGTTTCTTTGATTATTTCATAGGCACCTATATAATTTGTTTTATTGTTTTCGTTATGATGACCATTATTAGGGAAGACATTCACTGTCGTAGTAGCATTCTCTAGTTGCTGATAGTTTGTGATTCCCGTCTTTCCTATATCTACGTGGTATTATTATATTTCGTAATACTGTGAAATGTACTTGAGTAAACAGTTAATTTTATTTTCAGAGAACAAGGTCAAGGTACTACAGATGAATTACGTTCAAGAGACTTCCGTAAGGAGTTAGATGAAAGGGAGAAGGAAGTGAAAAGTTCTAGTACAAGGAGACCTGTAGAGCCCCCTACTAAGAGACCTAAAGTAGATCAGGTTCCGGCAGCGAGCTTGGATGCTGATGATCCTCTTGAAGGAGACTCGTCTGACTCTGATGATTCCGATGATGACACTGCAGCTTTGTTAGCAGAGTTAAACAAAATTAAAAAAGAAAGGGCCATAGAACAGGCTAAGAAGGTAAATATATATTCATATTGGAATTGTTGAAATTATTTCTTTTTATATCTACTCGGTGGATTTAGTGTTATTTTGAAGTTTCTCAAAGTTATGAAGTACAAAACTTTTCATATTATGTTGTCTTCTAGAAAACAATCCCTTTATTTAAAGTCATAAGATATGGTCAAATCTTTATATTGGTATATTCTTCAAATGTAATGTATGTTGTAAATCTGTAATTTTTCCTTGATTTATTTTATATTAGGGAAGAAACAAAAAATAATGCAGTTCAAATAATAAAGTGATTTTTGTTTACAGGAAGCTGAACGCAAGCAGGAAGAAGAAAGGATTCGCATGGAAAATATTCTGTCTGGAAATCCATTATTGAATTATTCTTCAGCAGGACAGAAGAATGATATGAAGGTTATTTTCTATCTTTTAATGCAAATAGATTGATTGTTTTCTAATTTTTGTCAGTGGTTGTTTTGTTTATAGGCTGGTCTTAACATAGCCATTAAAATTACTGGCATGGTCTTTATAAAAGAAAGCTCAAATAAATTCCAATTATACTTTGTTGACATGGGAAATGAACTATGAGATAATTTGCATGGCACTTGTGGTCGAAACCACTCGACTAACTGGGTAGTCGTAATTAATTATATTATTTTACCTGAATGATAGAATTCGTGTCTCTACTACTCTACTGTCTTGTGTTTGTCATGCTGTTTACAAAAATAATTTAAAATATGATTTTGTTTATTCCAGGTTAAACGACGCTGGGATGATGATGTTGTTTTCAAAAATTGTGCCCGTTCTGAACCTGAGAAGAAAGGCAACACTTTCATAAATGATTCTTTAAGATCAGAATTTCATAAGAAATTCATGGAAAAGTATGTTAAATAGTGATACCTAATTGTAATTCATTAAAATTAAATGTAAAAATTATTGTATCATGATTGATATTAACTGTCTGTAAAGTAAACTATGTATTTGCAAAAAAATAATGTTTACAGTTTAGTTGAAAATAAATTATGTTTGATAATAAACTCCAATGTAGTTTCTTAATTTGTTAATTTCATAATTGATAAGATTTTGTAAAATATTGTAAATATCTAAATCTTAAAGATTTAACCAGATTATCAAACATTGAATAAAATGTTTCTGTAATTGTTATATTTCTTGTACATAATAATGTATGTATGATATTTTTAAGGTATAAAGATAACTGTAAGTTTTAATAAACTTGAAAAAATTAAATCTTTGTATTTCATTTATATTATGTAGTTACGCTTCGTTACAATTTTTACTTTAACCTCTTGTCCTCTTATATGAAACACAATAGAGAACACATCGTGCCTCGCCCCTCGCGTATATCTACGTCCGCGCGTATACCAGGGGTTAAGTCTTCATACATATCTTACTTTTCATTGCTCGAAGGGAATCTTTTTTTTAGACATCAATCAGTGGCACATAGACATCTGGTAAGAGTAAATTTTTAATTAAAAGTGACCTCTACAATTTCGCCAATTATATTTATCTTGGAAGTGAATAAAGCATTTTTATATAAAAAAGGTGATAGGGCGGTAAACGAGCAAATATCACCTGATGACAGGGTGTCATCATCCCTATTGAGAACAGCAATTTCTCACGTTTAACAATAGAGAAGAAACAAAAGATAATTTTAGCACTAATTAGGAACTTGGGTCATAGTTGTCACCCCTATCTACTGACATACTGTCCTTTGTTCGACTGCTTATCAGTAATTCACGACAATCCTATTTTTCTCAGAATTTCTTGCTATTGTTCTATTTTCTTTTCAATAGATAACTGTAAGCTGTAATATTTTGACCTTAATAGGTACCCGCATAAACAGAGCGGTTCCCATAAAACATATTTAACTAAGTAGTACCTATACGCTCTCGGCTTAGGACGCGTGTTGAAACTGTTTTTTTTAAATCATTGCCCCACACTAGTATTTTCTCCTGTGTCGAGGAAGCGTTTACAAAAATACAAGTTCACATACACATGACACAGGCTCAGAACAATAATCTGTGGATCATACAAAGAGTAGTTCCGTGCGGGAATCGATCCTGCGACACGTTGCGCGGCAGCCAGGTGTTCAGCTACTGCACCCACCGTGCAGTCTGATATACATATAGGGTTTCTAATCTCTTGAATAACTCTATAGTATACGTTAAAATATAAACAATTCGTCGCGTGCTTACATTGGGATAGGCAGCGAAAAGGGACTTCGGTTAACAGGTATAGGTACATACCTACTAGGTAGCGATGAAGTAGGTATAGGGTGAACTCATCTAACTTTGTGACAAAGGCATTTGAGTAATAAAATACCAATAAATTTAATTCAGTCTCCGCATGAGTTTTAATCAGTCTTTTATGAGGAATATTAGCACAAATAATCAGATTTTTTTCTAGAAACCTAAGAGTTCTACCAAATTTACTAAACCGAATTATTAGGCGAGTCACAGAATTAGATGAGTTCACTATACTTATAATTATATTGTATCAACAGCCTATAAGTGATCACTGCTGACCAAAAGCCTCTCCTCACACGAAAAAGGTCTGAGCATTAATCACCACGCTTGCTCAATGCGGGTTGGCTATTTCAAACTTATAATTACAAATTATAAGCCCAGGTTTCCTTCACCGTTTGTCAGTGGTGTCTAAATAATCTTAGAAAGTACACATAACTCAGAAAAAGGCACATTAGTACTTGCTGTTGATAAGTTTAGAACCGCGTACCCTAGCGAGCATCTTAAAACTCCGAGACACCACGACGTGCTAAAGTATTAAAATTTTTGGTCGTCGTTCATACTAAAAGGTACTTAATGTACCTACTTATGCCACTGAGTAAAGGTTACGTACCAACATTTGTATTGTACCAACAAATTATGGTAGGCAATATTAAATAAGTATTTTAAGTATCTAAGTACCTATGTTTTACAATATTTTACAGTTTTACAAACAAGTCAATTATACTAAACATATTTTCGGGTCGAAAACAAAATTAAGAACATAGGTCTACTTAGTCCTATGTCGCAGTGTGACTTGCTCTCTAAAATATTATTTATGTAGTTCAATACAATCCTTTGACATCCAAATATATATAATAATTTATCATTATCTAATTAAAAGCAACTGAATATGTAACTATTATACATAATTTTAAAATGTGCACAATATTTTTCGCGTTATCGGTTCGCTTTGGCTAGTGTGTACGTGCAACTTTGCATGACGTTGATGTTGTTGTCTCTTTCTATCGCACTCACTAGTAATGCGCTCGAAGCGAGTTGAGTAGTCGAGTTATTCGGTCAGTGACTCAGTGTGCCCGAAGTCGTCAACGGTGACGGTGCTTGATTTGTCTCTCGTTCGTTCGTCTTCGTTGTACATGTACAATTTATAATCTGTGCCCTGTGGCGTATTTGAATGTTTTGTTTGTTATCAAACATTTTGCTCCGAAAAGTGGATAAAATAAAAAGTCCAATAAAGTTGAACTGTGCAAGTAAAAATAGTACACAGTTAAACGAATAATTGTAATATTATTGAAGTTTACACTGGCTATTAGTGTTTACCATTTTGAGGTTATAATCTTAGCTTTGTGAATCAAGCTAAAAGTATTATATAAAAATGGTTTGTGAGAAATGTGAGAAGAAATTGGGCCGTGTGATCACACCGGACCCTTGGAAGTCTGGAGCCAGGAACACCGTGGAATCCGGAGGAAGAAAAGTCGGTGAAAATAAAGCCCTAACTGCAAAGAAAGGGCGATTCAATCCTTATACTAGCAAATTTCAAGAATGCAGGCAAGTTTTTATCCTATTCTTTTTATTATAATGCCCTTTTTTCTTTCTCCTATGAAATTATACCGACAAACTCTCCACGAATTGTATAAAATACTCAATTTATAGGGACAGGTCAATATGGTATTGTATTTTTATTTTTAACAATAGATAAGGCTTCTATGCGTGTGTTATTAAATGTTTTAAGTAGTGAAATGTATTAAATATTTGTTAGTCATAGTATTTTATGTATTTCACACTTCTAAACTGTAAAATTTTAGATAGTTAAATATGAAATTCTTAGCCACTTATTAGACCTTAAACTTCTAGTAGTTCAACATTCTTATAGCATTGCTTGAGAGCAGTGAAAAACATTATTTTTGTACTTATCTATGTTCTAATTTTTTTTTCTATTTATGATAGTGACAACATACACTTACAGGCCAAGATCAATATGAAACATTTGTTGACTAGAAACTTACCAAAAATATTTAACCACAATCGTTTAATCCAATTTCATCCACTTTCAATTCTTCTTTCAACCTCTCAACTCAACCAAAATTCTCACCAAATGAATCAAAACAATCACAATTTTGTAACTGCGAGAAACAGACTTGTCATACTAACAGATAATGTTTCTTTTTACAGGATCTGCAGAACAAAAGTACACCAAGTTGGCTCACATTACTGCCAAGCCTGTGCCTACAAGAAAGGAATATGTGCTATGTGCGGCAAAAAAATATTAGACACCAAAAACTATAGACAAAGTTCTACGTAGAATCTTTTTTTAGTTAAAATAGTTTTCTAATGAAGATAGAATGTGAAGATTTGAAATGTTTTTTTTTAATTTGATAATCTATGTACAATAGCCAGTGGGTCAATCTGATATTACTTTTTTATTGTAGTTTTGACTTTACTTCAAAAGTATAAAGTTGAAAATTGAACAAAAATGTTTGTAGCACTACAGTACTTGTGAATTCATATTACTCATTTATTGTATTAATTACCTGTGAATTTTGATGTACCAATCAAACAGTGAACTGTCAGTTGAAAGGTTTGTCCTTTACAGTAAAGGGCTATACCTAGTTTGGTAGTAATTAAAATGATTTATTTGGGAATTTATAATTTAATGTATAAGCAAATGTATTTTAGGGACTTATAGCTATGTATCAAATGTAAAAGATTATTGTATCATGATTGATATTAACTGTCTGTAAAGTAACTATGTATTTGCAAAAAAATAATGTTTACAGTTTAGTTGAAAATAAATTATGTTTGATAATAAAGTCCAATGTAGTTTATTAATTTGTTAATTTCATAATTGATAAGATTTTGTAAAATATTGTAAATATCTAAATCTGAAAGATTTAACCAGATTATTAAACATTGAATAAAATGTTTCTGTAATTGTTATATTTCTTGTACATAATAATGTATGTATGTTATTTTTAAGGCATTAGTTATAATAAACTTGAAAATATTATGGAAATCTTTGTATTTCATTTATATTATGTAGTTAAGCTTTGTTACAACTTTTACTTTAACCTCTTATCCTCTTATATGAGACACCATAGAAAACACATGACTGCCTCGTTGGCCGAGTGGTCGCAAGTGCGACTGCCGCGCAAGGGGTCTCTGGTTCGATTCCCAGGTCGGGCAAAGTATTACCGGGTTTTTAAAATTCTGAGTAGTACCACGGAGTCTGGATTTGTGCCCGGTATATGGCAATAGGCTCACCCCCTATTACATGGGACTCATAACATTAATAGTGAAAAGTGGATGTTACATTGCACAGTGGCATAATGTGCACCCCTGGCCCCCTGCCCACCCCTTCGGGAATAAAAGGCGTATACCTACGTCCGCGCGTATACCAGGGGTTAAGTCTTCATACAAATCTTACTTTATATTGCTCGAAAGGAATCTCTTTTTTGGAATCAGGGGCACATAGTGTAGGCATCTAGTAAAAGTAAATTTATTAATTAAGTGACCTCTACAATTTCGCCAATTATATTTATTTTGGAAGTCAATGAAGCATTTTTATAAAAAAGGTGAAAGGGCGGTAAACGAGCAAATATCACCTGATGACAGGGTGTCATCATCCCTATT